GTGCGTATGGTCTGTTATTTCTGTACTTTTGTACTTTAGTACCAGGACTTGTTTTCCAGGGTACGATGAGTACCGGTAGTTTTTCCGGTCATTTTTCCGTCAAAATCTTTGAGATTTATGAAAACCCACCTGCCCATCTCCAGCCATTCACAGTCCCCCCAGCGCGGTCCCGCCCCTCCCGAACAGGCTCATGATGTGCATAGGAAGCGGTGGCCGTGCAGCTACGTCGGGGTCACTCACACACAAACACTCCACACCAGCAGATCATCTCCGTACGCTTTATTCAGTCCCTCGGACACTCCTCGATCTGCAGGTCCACCTGAATTCATGTGGAGAAAGGCCCTTCCTCTGCGTCTGTTGCCTGTATATGTTGAAGGAGGAGGATGTCTGATTATTGATGCGCGTCACCTGCTGTTGCACTCGCTCCCGCTGCCACGTCTGCTTTCTGCTCTCCGGCAGACGCGCTTGTCCTGACGCCGCGCCACAGACGCATTCTCTCTTCCTTCCACTGGTCATGAAAGCAGTCACATAACTTGATGGCGTGGTTCTACCCGCGTGCTCATCCCCAACCGGGAGCAATTCTAATGCGAAACGGGAGTGATAGTGTTCCACACATCTGATCATGTGATGTCATGTAATCACGAGAGAATTGTAACTCCACACGTGATTTCAGACGTCCACACGCAATTAATAACCAAGAAGAAAGACAGCTGCATGCATCAAAAAAGTTCAGTGGATTATTTTCTGTTTTGCGGCCGATTGATGACGCTTTCAGATGCAGTGGAAAGAAGGGGTACCACTGCACGTCGAAGTTTTGCAAAATGGCAGCAAAACGTACTACATGCCAATTAGTCGCCGTTATGGTGGATGAGGTTTTTTCCACTGGCAGCTAAGTGTGATGTATTGGACGCGCCCCAGAAGCGAGGGCCTGCTATAGTTATGTTTTGAGTCTATTTTTGACGTTCTATGCTTCCAAAACACGTCAAACTCCGCAGTTTAGATCAGGCCAGACAGGAAGTCAAACACAAGAGAAACGTAGAGAATCCAGAAACTTAAAATAAAGGTCACATGCAGTATGTCATTTCCTGTGAACTGTTGTAACTGGTGTAAAGAGAACAGAAAATAGTCCACAAGACGTTTTTCACACATGCAGCTGTCTTTCTTCGTGTTCATTATTGTGTGTGGAACGTGAATATGTCAACATAACTCTTATTTTTATGTTTGTTTCTCTATCGGTTTCAAAAGGGCACCCTGTGTACAAAACACCCAGCAATCAGCATTAAAAGCGTGTTGTAGTTTTAATAAATAAATAAAAGGTGAAAAAATTACCCCCCCCCCCCCCCCCCCCCCCCCCCCGCTTTTTTCACAAATCGCACCCGGGGTATGACCCGACCATGGATTTGAGCCCGCGATCTTGCCGTGGATGCTCGTACCACATACCACTAGGCCACCGAGTTGGACTATGAAGAAAACAATAAAACCAGACTTATTTGTGAGGAACAAGCAAACGGCCACGGGGTTAGTCAGAAAACCTGCTATTACTACACCAGACGAGCCTTTTCCTTACAGATGCTCAGACTCTGGACGCCACGGTGCACCTTACCAACATGGAGTTCACCTCAGAGCTGAGGAACAGCAGCAGCCCAGCATACAGAGACCTCTCTGAGAGCTTCAGACAGGAGGTGGGTGTTTAAGGAGCAGCATCTTCTAGAATCATGTGATCTGTGTGTTTGTTTAAATCCTTACTGGCCCAGTTGTAGCACTCAGTTTAACATTCTGATAAGTTGTCATGTCCAAAACTGCCGACCAGCCTACACCAGCAGGGTGGACTTCTTTCAGACATGTGTAAAGAAATCTACCAGGGCCAGAGTAAACTAGTGCAGACCAACAGTCCCATGAATCGTGTGTCATGCAGGAACCGTCTTACCTGTTCAGGTGTTTCAGATGAGTTCTGTCCTCACAAACAGATCTACCAGTCTCTGTCTCCAGAGGCCAAGGCCATGGTGGACTCAGGTGACCTGAGGATCGAGATCACAGGCTTTTCTCCTGGCAGCGTGGTGGTGAACTTCACCATAATCTTCAGTCAAAGTCAAAGCCAAACCATGACTGCAGTAACCACGGTGATGGTGCATTCTCTGATGAACAGCTCCAAATTCATCTTGGATCCAAACAACACCAGCATCAGCGGTACGACTCAGCCAATCAGCTCCCAGTTGCCCTTAGGATAGGGCTTGTTGACCTTAACGGTTCCCCTTGCGAAGCGCTTCCGTGTGGTCTAAGCTAACGCTGAAAGGATGTATTTCTCTTACTCGTTGTGCTGTTGTTGACATGAACCTTTGGTTACACGCTCAGGTGTACATTGTAGCACAACCAGTACACCCAGGCTCACATTCTGCAAGGTTTCATAAATATTTGTGCTAAAACGACTTGTTGTGCTCACTGCTGACGGTTTATGAAACCATTGGGAAGTTTAGGATATGGAAGCTGTTTAGTGACGTTCCCTGAACCCGTGTCCCAGAGCGCTACGCACCTGTATGTAAAGAGCTGACCAAATGTTTGTTCATTAGATTTTGATGAATGCACATCAGGACAAAATGACTGCTCTCCACTGGCCACGTGTGCTAACACCTGGGCCTCCTACACGTGTGCTTGCCATGATGGATATAGAGACTACGACCCAGACAGACCCGGCCGTACCTGCCAAGGTGGAGTCTCTCTGTGCTCAAACCCTATTGGCTGATTTTCTCTCCTTGTTTTCTAATGAATTTGTTGTGTTTGTGCAGCTAACGATATGTTGGCTGCTCCACCAGAACCACCGACTCTGTTCTCTGGTTCAGCTCCAGACACCAGGTCACCTCCTGCCCAGACAGCCATTACTGACCCAGGAATTACCCCCAGCTCCACCCAAACCCCCACTACCTCACCCTCTGACATCACTGTGCCCTCCATCAGTGCTGCAGCTAATGTCTTTCCTGCAAACACAGCTGCACCATTGACAGCCATCACCACTGTGACATCTACAAGCTCCACTGTCTCCACTACAGTCACCATAGCAACGTCCCCTACAACCCCAACAAGCACCTCCGCTGCTCTGGGATCAGCCTCTAAAGCCTTCCTGCCCGACGCCCTGTCAGTGCAGTGCAGGGTGGCCGCCATCACCGTGAGCGTCACCAGAGTTTTTCTCCTGAACACCAACATCCAGGACAGTGCTTTGTACCTGGGAATGCCAGGATGTGGGGTCAACGGAGGAAACAACACCCACGTTCAGCTGACTGTGGCCTGGGATGAGTGTGGTACCATGCTTGTGCATGTACGTTAGTTGGTTGATGCCATCCTTTTCACCAGCTTGTTTAGAACTGACTTGGAGGGGTTTGAGAACAGTATTGATTCTTTTTATTTGACTTATTTTAGAATGAAACCTTTTACACGGCGACTGTGATGTTGTTCAACTCCATGGATCTGGCCAGCTCTCTGAACGGAAACGGAGAAGTTCCCAGGACCCAGCTCAAAGTCCCCATCGTGTGCAGCTTCCTGAAGAGCCAGTTGATCTCTGCCGACTTCAGCTCCCTGGGGTGAGTTATCCTTGGTACCAGTCCAATACAGCACCCAGTCAGCTAGAGCCTACAAGCAGATCAAATGTGTTCTCAGAGCCCATCAGCAGGAATATATCCACCTGACCTTTCCAGATCACAAATTACCTTTATTCTAATAGGAGGACATCACTGGAAAGGACCATATTTATTAATTAATGTTACAAAGCTTCATTTTAATCCAATTGATTAGTCAGATTCTAATAAATGTCATAGTAAACTTTAAAAGCAAAAGTCAACCTTTTGTGCAATAGTAATGCCAGTAACAACAACACTAGTCTATGATCTAACGTTCCAGTTTTTTGTGTTGTAATTCTGTTTGAATGGCCTGAGCAGGTGTCTCTTATCTTTCATTTCATTTATTCAGGCGCCTTTCTTACACCCAAGGTTACCGTACAATACAAAACAAAAAGAGCACACAATAAAACACAATAAAATTACTAAAATCGACAATTTTAAAAACAGTCAGCATAAAGGCAAGTATGAGTAATAATTACACTGAGCAGGCAGCGTTTGAAAGATGTGTTTCAAGCCTAGATTTAAGAAGTGAGAGAGATGTGATGTTCCCAGCGTCTGCCGGGAAAGATTTCCACAGAGAGGGAGCAGATCTGCTGAAGGCACGTTTCACCTTAGTGGTGAGCCGAGCAGGAGGGTTAGAAGAAAATTACAGAAATCTAAATGAGACATAACCAAACTATTTACTAAAATAGCAGCATCGTGCTCAGAAAGTGGAATTTACCTATGGGCCTGAAATGAAGTGTACTATCCAACACAACTCCAAGGCTCTTCATCTGCGCCAGACAGGAAACCGAGGAACCATCACAGGCTAAGGAGAAGCTACCAGCCTTCCCCAGAGCAGATTTCGTACCCATGGGGAGCACTTCTCTCAAGCATTTAATAACAGTGATTGGTGGAAGAAGTGCAAATGGAGAGGTGGAAACATAGAGCTGAGTATCATCAGCATAACAGTGAAAAATAATACAGAATTTCCTAACCCTCCTAACCCTAACCCAACAGATGAATAAAAGGAAGAGGGCCAAGAACAGAGCCTTGAGGAACCCCAGCAGAAACCAGTCAGAGAGGAGGTTAAAGTCTTTAGTTGAACGTGATGAGTTCTGCCAGTGAGAAATGTAATAATTCCTCCTGCTTTTTGCTGAATAGAAACCAGAACGTCCAACTTTTTTCCAAGAGCGAAGCGTCAGACAGGTTCTGTGTCTTATATTTAGCTCATCACATTATTATGTTACCATCATCTGTGTCATCAGTCTGCCATTTGCTTTCATCTGTCTCCAGGTACGATTTGATCAAAGACATGATCACGGACCTGGGCTCGTTCCCGGTGACGGTGCAGCTGAGGAACGGGGCGACACCCTTGTCTCACAACTACAGCCTGTCCCCTGAGCAGTCTTTAGTGATGGAGGTCAGCCTCAACACCACCTCGGAGGAAATAAGAGTTGTCATGAACAAGTGCTGGGCCACACCCACCCAGAACCCTGCAGACAGCTATAGCAACACCTTCCTGGAGAACAGGTGAGATCCTGCCGCAGCATAGTCACCATCTTTCAATGGTTTTTAGGCGATAGAGTGGGCATGGGAGGTGAAGGTACAGTTAGTGGCCCACTGGTTCTGCTGCAGCATCTTTGGTTTCCATGGTTTCTGAGGTCAGCCTCACCTATCGTCTGGAACATTCAGCGCAGCACATTCTTTACAGTGTTATGTGTAACTGCTAACACAGTACTCACGACCCAAACACACAAGTCCATTTACTGTTATGAACCCCTCACAATTTCAAGAATTGGTGAAAACAAAAGTCAACCCTAGAAAGCCAGATGTGATACAGCGAGGGTTACTTGTTATAACCAAAATATAATTGCATACATTATTTCAGCCAGTACACAGATTAATAATCAAATATCCATCCATCCATTATCTGCACCTGCTTGTCCTTGCAGGGTCTTGGGGGGCTGGTGCCCATCTCCAGCAGTCAATGGGCAAGCAGGCAGGATACCCCCTGGACAGGTCACCAGTCCACCACAGGGCAACACAGAGACACACAGGACAAACGACCATAAACGCGCGCACGCACGCACGCGCACACACACACACACACACACACACACACACACACACACACACACACACACACACACACACACACACACACACACACACACATACACACACACACACACACACACACACACACACACACACACACACACACACACACACACACACACACACACCTAAGGACAATGTAGACAGACCCATCAACCTGACAGTCATGTTGTTGGACTGTGGGAGGAAGCCGGAGTACCCGGAGAGAACCCACCACTGCACAGGGAGAACACGCAAACTCCATGCAGAAGAGCCCAAGCCAGGATGTGAATGCAAGGCAACAGCACTAACCACTGGGCCACTGTGCAGCTCAATGATCGAATAATTATCTGATCATTATGTTCATTCAGTTTTCTGCAGTAATTGATATGTTTTCTAACCACTCTACCAAAAATGGTCCAAAAATTAGAAACCTTTAGATGTCACCACACCTGGCTTTAAAAGGTACTGTTCAGGGATGGACTGGGATGATAATTCAGCCCTGAAATACCTCCGCTTGTCCGGCTGTATGCATTAGTGGGGGGTGTAACGTCCAGCAATGGTCAGTTTTTAGGTACTGTAGGGGTAGTCCCCTGTATTAACTTGTCCGAGCAGGTAGGAGTCAGATCGTTGCTGCAGTCTGTCTGGGGTTCCTGAGAGGGGGCCAACGCCCACCGGCCCTAGAGCACACAGGCTTTTCTGAGATTCTTCAGAACTCAGAGATTCAGTCCGCCTCTGGGACTCATCCAGCTGCATTCAAACAGGTTGCTTTCAGACCACTCTGAAATGAAACTGTTTATACAGACCAGTGACACATCCTGCTTTTTTCACAAGTCTTAAGCCTGACTAATACATCTCCGTCTGCGTCGGTGCGGAGACGCGCAACTCCATTATGGGTCGACGCAAGGGCTTTCCAAAGGGCTCACGGAGGGTGACAGAGACATGCCCAAAATTTTAAACATCCGTCAAAAGTGACAAAGGCCACAGGCTTGTGATTGGTCAGGATACTGCTTCCTGTATATTTATCACCAGCACCGCCCCGTTTAAAAGTAAACAGATATTTAGCAGCAGGCCCAGAAGTATTATCCTTACTAGTCATCATTGAAATTAAAGGCATCAACAGCTATTTTGTTACTAACATATATTATTTTAAGGACATGCTAGCAACTGCTTTAGGAATGAAGTTCAATAAATCCTTAAAAAGCTAATAGGCGGCCATTTTCACTCATATGAGGCAGACTGGATGTTTCCTCTAGACATCTATAAATCTATGTAACATTTCAGATTAGCAGCAGGTTGAAGTTAACTTGTGAGAATGATTAAAAACACCAGTTTTGGGTAAAATATGACGGATTTATTATGTTTCACGAGGTTGTGATGCTGATGCAGCAGCTAGCATCATCTCTGCTGCTGATCACAGCTGCTCACTGAGGGACAGAAAATAAATCAGCTTTTTGTTGATGTTTTATTTAATATTCATTTGATGGACACTTTTTGTGTTTTTAACAGCTTCCACATCACGTTACTACAGTCACATTTTACTGTGTGTTATTTTTATAGACGGTGTTTTCTCTTTATTGTTAAATGTTCCAGAAATGTAGGACTTCACCTTTTCCAATATCATTTATTGAAAGACCAAGTTCACTGTTTTTTCCACACATGTGCATAGGTCTCTAGTATAAATGAATGCCTTGTGAGGTCATCTCTGTGGGGGAAAGCTCTGGTGCTCCTGTTTCAGGAACTAGAAGAAAATGGCAGGATGTGGAGTTGCACTCTGTATCATTTACTGCAATGCTGACATCTCACCCGTGACCAACTGGTTTATTTGTTTATATTTATGTTTATGTATTTAGCAGATGCTTTTGTCTAAAGCGACTTACAAGTGAAAATCGGCATGTTGCCCTTGAAGCTAACAACAACAATAACAACAACAACTTGACATCAATCATGGAGAGGAGGGAACAAGGAGTGGACAGTAGAGAGGGGGACGGGTGCAGGGAGGGTGCTAGTTAAGAAGATGATTTCTGAAGAGCAGAGTCTTCAGGAGTTTCTTGTCAGTTGAAAAGGAAGCCCCTGTTCTTGTAGTGCTTGTTACGTCATTCCCCATTTTTGGAACGATGCATGAGAAGAGCCTGGACTGTCCTGAGCGTGTGTACGCACTGCTAGCCGACGATCCTGTGATGACCGGAGTGGCCGGGCCGAGACGTAAGCCTTTGCAAGAGGATCCAGGTAGATAGGAGCCGTACCATCTCGGACTTTGTATGCTAGTGTTAGCAATTTGAATTTGATGCGTGCTGCTAGCGGTAGGCAGTGGAGCTCAATGAACAGAGGGGTGACATGTGCTCTTTTTGGCTGATTGAAGACCAGTCACGCTGCTGCGTTCTGGACCATTTGAAGAGGTCTCACAGTACAGCCTGGAAGACCAGTTAGAAGGGCATTGCAGTAATCGAGGCGGGAGATGACAGTGGATTGCACCAGGAGCTGGGTGGCATGTTGTGTTAGGTATGGTCTGATCTTTCGTATGTTATACAGCGCAAAGCGGCATGAACGAGCAACAGAGGCAACATGATCTTTAAAGGTCAGGTCTTCATCAATCACAACACCCAGGTTTTGAACTGCCTTTGACGGAGCCAGAGATAGGAAGTCATTTTGGATTGAGATATTGTGCTGTATGGATGGTTTTGCTGGGATGACAAGTAGTTCAATTTTAGAGAGGTTGAGTTGGAGATTGTGGGATTTCATCCATTTTGATATGTCAGAGAGACAGTTTGATATTCGTGAAGAGACAATGTGGTCGTCCGGTGCAAATGACAGATAGAGCTGGGTGTCGTCTGCATAGCAGTGGTAGGAGAAGCCATGTGATCGAATGATCTCACCCATTGAGGTGGTGTATATGGCAAAGAGAAGAGGTCCTAGTACAGACCCCTGGGGGACTCCTGTGGCAAGATGGTGCACGGTAGAGGAGTGTCCAAGCCAAGATGCACTGAATGATCATCCTGTGAGAAACATTTCAAACCAGGCATGTGCTTTCTCTGTGATGCCCATGCCAGAGAGTGTGGACAAAAGGAAGCCATGGTTGACTGTGTTATTTTTTTCAAACTTTATTTTCATTTATTCACTAAAAGAAAAATAACAATATACAAAAGTAAATGACTAAAACAAAAGGAAAAGGGGACAGAAAGAAGACAAAACTTATGTTGTCTGCCCCTTTTAACTCTAATAGTGCTAATACAAATGAAATAACAGTATCATTTTAAATGAAAGTTAAACATAGTGATTGCTGGAATGATTAGTTAACAAATTTTCCATTTATAAAATAAATAAATAAAAACCCAAATTAACACAAAAGGAGAAGAATATTTACATACATGCAAACTTATATATTTAGACATGCATACATACACTTTCATGGTCTGCGTCTGTGTCTTCCCTTCTGTGTCTCATAGCGCCCTCATGTGTCGTTTGTCTGCGTCTCAGTTAAGTGTCTTATGTTGTTACCCTTTTTAATCATTCCTCCCAGGTCAGCTCCAGCCTCTTTGTCCCCAGCTCGGTGTGTGTGTGTGTGTGTGTGTGTGTGTGTGTGTGTGTGTGTGTGTGTGTGTGTGTGTGTGTGTGTGTGTGTGTGTGGTTATGTGGTTATGTGTGTGTGGGTGTATGTGCTATGTCCTCCTCCAGCTAGTTTGTGTGAGCCCTTCCCTCTGTCTTTAGATAATTTTTGTTTAGTTTTGTGTTTAGGTATCTGCCCTCCTCTGTTTCTGTTTTCCCCATTTAGATAAGTATTGTCACCTGCCTTCCCTCCAGCCCTCACTCCACACACCTGCTTCCTGTTTCCTTAATTGCTCTCCCTGTGTATTTAAGCCCTGTCTTGTCTCTGTGTCTTGTCGGTCCATTGTGTTTGTATTCTGTCAGTGTTTGTTCGTGCTCTGGGTGAGCTTTTGTTTCTCCAGCTTTGGAGTTTTGGACTTTAGGCTCGCTGCCTGGATTTATCTTGTTCATCCTCCCAAAATAAAGGATTTTACCTTACATCATCTCCTGCCTCGTGTCATCCTGGGTTGCTGCATATTTGGGTCCTAACATCCTCGAAACGTGACATACACTTTTCTTCCCCTTTTCCCCCCTCCCCCCTCCCCTCTTCCCTCACTTGTTTATATAACAGATCTATTTGAGTTCAGCATTTCATTTTTAATCAGATTTTTATAAGTAAATATTGTTTTTGCGTCTTTGTTTTCTGTACTCAATTTATTCCATATTTTCCTCCATATGAAGAGATACAAGGGTTCTTTACAATTAACCTATGCCTAGGTGTTATAAATAATTCTTGTTCTTTTAAATCATATTTACTTTATCTTTTTATAAATCTTTTATTTAAACTTGCAGGAAGGTATTTTTGCTTGCATTGTACATACATTTTAAGATATGATAGTCCACTAGGTCATATAATTTTAATATTTTTAATTTTATAAATGAGGGGTTGGATGGATCTCTGTAGCCACTTCTTGAAATTATTCTTATTGCTTTTTTTTGCAGGATGTAAATTGAATTTGTATAAGTTTTATATGTTGTTTCCCAAACTTCAATGCAGTAGTTTAAATATGGTATTATCAGTGAACTTTATAATAAATATAGGGAGTTATTATCCAGTGACCATGTTACTTAATGTAACATTGCAAATGTTTTAGCTATTTTAGTGTTGATTCTGTTTATATGTGGTTTCCAGGATATTTTTTCATCGATGATGACTCCCAAAAATGTAACTTCCTTTACTCTTAATTTTGATATCCTCTATATTTAGTAAAGTTTTTTCATTAAAATTTGTATTACCAAATATCATAATACATGATTTATCACTATTTAATAGAATTGGGCATCGAGCATCGATTGGAACCGGTTCCAACTGTTCAATGTTTTTTATTTCGATTCCGACTTTTGATTCCTAGTATACTGACCAGAAGAGGAATCCGCGGCTGATCTCCGGGAAAAATAAACATGATCTACAAATTGTGATCAATGCTTTGCAGAGCTGATCACACCAGCTGTCTGTGTGCAGCACCGAGTCCCCCCTCCCCCCACCCAGATATAAACAAACGCATCTGCCGAACTTTTACTTCGTAATGCATACTTTAACTCCTGCAGCATAGAGGAAACTTGTTAAATATGTCAACACGGTGGATTTAATAGAAGCTTTAAAGAACAAACTCTGGACGGTGTGAGGTGAGTTTGTCTCACTGCAGAAATAAAAACACACACGGAGCATCAGCAGTCAGACGCAGCCGCTCACCAACACTCGTGTGTATGTGTGTGTGTGTGTTCTTGTACACACTACATACTGAGGACCATTTTGACCCTTTTCCCTACAAAGTGAGGACATTTTTCAAAGTGAGGACATTTGTTTGGTCCTCACTTTTTTTAGAAGCATACCAGAAGCTTACTGTACCAGTTGGAGTTATAGTGTGAATAAAGTTTTAGTTAAGGTTAGGGTTGGAATAGATCAGCTTGGGTTATGGTCATGGGTGGGGTATCGGTTAGGCATGGTGAAATCACAAAAATGAATGGAAGTCAATGGAGGGTCCTCACTATGATAGAAAGACAGACATTCATTTATACAGAGGAACATGCTTACACAACTAAAAAACACATTTTATCTGTTTTCACAAAATCAGATATGGTATGGCATGATAATTAAAATATAAATATGATTAAACTAAATAAATTAAAATGTGAAATTCTATCAGTTGCTCATTCTGCATTGACTTTTGAGAGTGAGGAGACCATGCGATATGGCTGCAATGCTCTCCAGTGCCAAATCGTTTATGAATTAATGTCTATGATGTCAGCATTAGAATGATAATCAAATAACCTGTTCGGTGGATTTCAATGAAATATATAGAAAGCGCAGATGCTTAAGTTAAATGAAATAGGTGCCTTTTTTATTCAAATCTGCTCTTATAATCTTATTATTATTTATTCTACTCTTTGGCATTTATAGTATGCCACATGAACCATAAACGCTGCAAGTTGTGAAGCACGTTCCATCCGCGAGCCGCATCACCAAGCGGAAAGTGAATGCGTCAAGCATAAACCAAGCTTTAGCAGAAGGGAGTGCAGTGTGCACCCCTAGTGGTAGCTTAAGGTATTTATATTGTGCCATATCACACACCATTGTTGGCAGAAGAAGAAGTTCCGACCAAAGAAACATAATTTTGAATAAAGTCCCAAAAATTATTGAATTAAAATGACTCAAATATCGATACTTTAATGAGAGTATTGGTAGCTAGAATTGGAAGTATTATTATTTTGGCATCGATCTGCACTTCCCTACAGGAGTGATATGAGAATGTTTCTGCTTTTACTTTAAAAATTCAGTTTTTATTGCTGTTATTACTGTTGATTTAATTTCCTTTTTAAAAGTGAGGCATTTGTGGGGTTGTGAGAAGCCCTAAATAAATAAACATTGCCTAATTGATTATTGTTTGTGTGTCAGACTTTAAAGAGTTAATTATCTGTAGTAAAGTGTTTACAGCAGTGTTGTTTTAGTGAGTCCAGATAGTTTTATTTAAGTTCATAGGGTGGTTCTTGTTTATGTCTCCCCAGCTGTCCCATGAACCCGTACACCAAAGTGCTGTCTAACGGGAACGCCACCACCTCCCGTTTATCCGTACAGATCTTCACTTTCGTCAGCCTGAAGGTCATCTACCTGCACTGCCGGATCCAGATCTGTGTGCAGAGGGGCTCGGACTCTTGTGTGCCTGTGAGGGATTTGTACTCCTTAAACATGTCACTGACCGACCATCAAGCATCTGACAGCTGGAATAGTTTTAGACTGTTCATGGAGTTCGATCTTTTCTTGCAGGAATGTTTTGAAAGAATGGCTAGGAGTTCGAACCCAGATGGGATGACGTTGTGCACATCAGGGCCTGTGATGAGGCTAAATAATGGAGGTGAGGCATTTAACAGTCTAACACTGAGAAATGATGGAGCCATGGCTGTGATGTGTTTGAGACATGATGGAGGTGTGAGTTCATCATACCCAGCCTGCGTCTGCATGTTGGACTGAGTTAGCTAAGGTCAGACATGGGTGCCATCTTTGCTGACTCTAAAAGTGAAGGAGTAATAGATGCTCAGCCAGATGTGTTTATTCTTCCAGAAATGCTGGAAGGCAAGGTGGACACTGTCCACATCATCGGACTCTCCTGCCTTGGAGTCGGCCTGTCGCTCTTCTTCATCGTTGGGTTTGTCTGCCTCTTCTACTACCAGAGGAACCGAATTGGACACTACAACTTTGGAACCAAACCCAAACAAGAGAACTTTACTTACCTTGCCTTCAGCACTTAGATCAGTGCTATCCAGCTCTGGGGACCACGACCCTGCAGTAGCAGGACTAGATAACCCTGACTCAGCATTAATCATACAGCACAGCTGCCACTAAGTGTCACTATAACATATAAAGTACTGAATATGTTTACATTTTACCTTCTGAACATTTAAAGCAACAATAATATAATGTGTTTGAAATAGAAATATGTATTTATCCTGAATCTGCTCTAATAAAATAGATTCAACTGAACTAAAGCTGAGTGAAATGTAAAGACTAGAGCCAGATTAACCCTTCATAGACAACAACTCTGCTTAATCTTCATCTATAACGGTTTGCTGGTTAAACTCCGCCTCTTTGCCAGGGTCTACATAGGTTATCCTGGACCAGAAGGACATTCTATAAAAAGATGAGACATCTGTAAAGAATAAAAACTGAAGAGCCTTTATTTTATTCAGGCAATTGGTAGTGGGGGGGGGGGGGGGGGGGGTTTAGAAACTCTTGTGTTTTGGAATTAGCAAAAGCATCAAAAGAAGTTAACAACATAAATACTGATGAATGCTGCATCATGTCTGATTCATGCCGGTAACATCTACTGCAGTTATGAACAGAGACGTGTCCTTGTTCTACACCAGAAGACCCTGTAATGCTGCATGTTGTTGGTGTCTTCAGCTCGTTGTTTTGTGGGTGACAACCTTTGCTAGAGTTCTTGAAGAATGCGTTTATTTGGGACCTGAATGAAGAGTTTTGGTGGGTGGAGAGCATTCTGACTGTGAAACGAACGGCTTTGCCAAGCTGACAGTTGGTTAGGAGAACTGAAGAGTTTTGCTAAAGTGACCGAAGTATTGAGAAATGTGTCCTAGCATCTGTAAAAACTGTAATAGTTTAGTTAAAATGTTTAGTTGGCACGAACTACCCAGGTAGAGCAATCATCCGGCTTCATGTTCTCGTTGTTAAACGATGGTTGGCAACCAGCCTAATGGAGCATTACCGCCTCCAACAGGTCTGGAATATGGGTTGTACAAGCCACATTGTATCCTAATCCTTCTCTCCTCCTTCCCTATCTTTTATTCTTCTTCCTTTCTTTCCCTCTCTGTGTCACGGTGAAGGGTTTCGAGGAGATTAGAACCCAAAATGCAGGAACCCCAGATGACACGAGGCAGTAGTTGATATAAAGAAATTATCCGTTTATTTGTAGGATGAAACAAAATATAAATCCAAATGACAGCGAGCCAATAAATCCAAAAATCCTGAGATCCAGGACACCGAAAAAACTCCAATGGAGCACAAAAACCTGAGACTTTGAACCAAAAGCTCACCTAGAGCACAAAGTCTGGGGATGAGACAAAAACTCACTTCGAGCACTAAAACAATGCTGACAAACAACAATGGACCGACAAGACACTGAGACAAGACAGGGCTTAAAGACACTGGGGCATAATGGGAGGATGATGAGCTGCAGGTGTGAGGGGAGAGAACCAGGTGAAAGTGATAACTAATCAGGGCGGAGGAGCAGGAGAGGACACCAGACCTAACTGGGAAAGGACACACACACACACACACACACACACACACACACCTAGCTGGAGGAGGCCATAAACACACACACACACACACAGCTGGAGGAGGACATAAACACACACACACTCACACCTAGCTGGAGGAGGACATAAACACACACACACACACACACAGCTGGAGGAGGACATAAACACACACACCTGGCTGGAGGAGGACATAAACACACACACAGAGCTGGAGGAGGACATAAACACACACACACACACACCTAGCTGGAGGAGGACATAAACACACACACACACACACACACACACACACACACACACACACACACACACAACTGGAATAATAGACCTATGGAAATAATGGTGGGGAGACTGAAGGAACACAGGACCTGAGAGGGAATATCTGGAGGGCTGAAGACCAGGGGACACAAGAGGAACACAAAGAGACACAGACACAGACCCAGACCATGACACTTTGTTCCCTTTTTCTTTCCTCTTCCTTATTGTAAGAATTTAATTTACATATTATTTAATGAACCATAAGACGTGAGATTCCATAATAAATGTGAAATCAATCTTATGGATCTTTGGGTACTTTTAACCAGAAGATTGGAAATTTTTATTGCAGGGATTATGTAACAACTTCATATTAACTCAGAGACAAAAGAGAGATTCAAGTGTTAAAAGTTTAAAGATTTATTACTAAACAAATTAAAACTAGACTAACTTTAAACACTAAATGTATGGTGTAACTAAGGTGAAGTGAGACGGAGAATGGTGGAATGTTGTTCAGAACCAGCAAATCCAGAGAAACGATTAGTTCTGATGGGAGTGAAGGTGATGTCTTTGCGCTAAGCTTTGATTTGGAGATTCATAAACACATAAGACGCCATTCTGCCGGCCTACGTACCCTTTTGGAAGTCCCCATCTAGATCAGGAATGTCGAGGTCTAGCTTGACCCTCTCTGGAACCGAAGCCGGTAGGAAAAGCAGCGGTTGCCGACCAGACCAGTCTTGAGATACTTCCGGGTCACGACAGTTTTGTTGGCATCTAGCAAGACCCAAAACGGGGTCGTGATGGTTCAGCTTTAATTCTGAAAGGAACCATTGCTTGGTTGGAACAGCAACAGATTTATCCAGCTTGTCTTTGGTTCTTTCGACTGAAGAGGAAAGTTATGGATTGGCCACTCCGACAACTTCTCTAGAACGCTTTGAACTGGAGTTTAAGATGATGCGGGCATAGTTTTATCATTTGTATGTTTTGATTTACGGTCAAATCAAAAGATGACAGATTTACCAAGCACCACCAAAACCGCACCTCCGTCAGATCTGGAAGATTCTGATTGGATCAGTAAAAGCAATGTGTCATGTGGCTTAACCTTACGTGTGATCAGTCTCTAGTGGGAATATTTAAAGTTATATAACTTATTATATTCTGTAGGATTATAATATCAAGTAAATAATACTTTCATTTCACAAATTGGTTCACATTTTATTATTGACTAACACTTTGTTTGATTAGCTTATTAAAAAGTTCTTTGATTTATTAAAAAGAAAGAGTCCTTTGTCTTCATTCTTCTCTTGCGCTGGAAAGGAAAACAGTTTAGAAGCAGAGCATGAAACCTTGAACAATATCTCCTGCAGATTAGTTCTTGCTGAGGAGGGGGGGGGGAAGGGGGGATGACGTTTAGGTGGAAAACAGTCATTTCATTCCGTTACATTATCAACTTCTGAAATAACTATTCCTATCTACATTCTATGAAAACCCCTACACCCTTTAGTAACTCTACCAGTTCCCTCGCCTGCACCCTACTACTCTCCAACACGCTCGTCAGAGTGAACTTCTCACTACCGCTCTCCTTCATCCTACGCTGCTGAAATTCCATTTCCTTATAACCCTTACACCGCAGAATTACATGCTCTACCATCTCTCCTCTCGACACACTCCACACAACCCAGTCTCATGTTTACCAATCATCTTTAGAGTTTGTTGAATGAGCAATGACCCAATCTGAGTCTGGTAACAACCACCTCTTCTCTCCTATTACCCCTATTCACCCCATGCCCTAACACCTCCTTCTTTACATTATAGAAAGGCCTCCACTTGCTCATAGAATCCCACCTTTCCTGCCACTCATTGACAACCTGCCTCCAGACAACATGTTTCGTTTCAGATGTACTATTAATAATTTCCCTTTCAACACTATCTTCACTCAAAACTTCTTTAGCCAATTCATCCAATTTTTCATTTCCACTGATCCCTACATTAGCTGGCACCCAAAGATAGTGTAAATAACTACCGCTACCCCTTATTCTGTTCAAAGTCAACAGAAGTTCAAACATACCCTGCCTTGTTTTTGAACAAAAAGACTGTAAACTTGAAAGAACAGATGCTGAGTCAGATCACACCACCACTTGCTTGATCTTTGAATGCTCCATCCATCTTAATGCAACCAAACTAGCCACCATCTCAACTGTGTACACTGCCAGTCCATCTGAAGTATGTCTGTTTATTCCGATGTTCTTAGACGGGACTGCTATTCCAAACCCAGTATTTTCAGTGTCTGGATTATTTGAACCATCCGTGAACACGTGCACACACTCAGTGTATTTATTCAGGCTGTGAAAATGAACTGCTGAAACAAGATCCACTCTACCTTTCAATAGCCTCTTCAAATCTAACAGGTACCAGTCAACAGAAGGGGTCCCCAATAACCATGGATACACAACAGGACAAACTTTAATGCCACACACCTGACATTCCTTAGCCCATTGATGTCATGGTCTGTGTCTGCGTCTTTCTCCATGTGTCTCCTGATGTTCTCCATCCCTCTTTAGATTCCCTTTTTGTGTCTTATAGCGCCCTCATGTGTCCTTAGTCTGCATCTCATTTATGTGTCTTCTGTTTGTAGCCCTTCAGGTCATCCCCAGCCCCTCCAGTTGTAGCTCCAGTCTCTTTGTCCCCAGCTCAGTATATATGTGTGTGAATCCTTCCCTTAGGCTTTAGGTTTAGTTTTGTGTGTTTTGGTTTTAGGTTTATCTACCCCTCCACTGGTTCTCTTCCCCATTCAGATAATTGTTGTCACCTGCCTTCCCTCCAACCTCACTCCACACACCTGCTTCCTGTTTCCCTAATTGTTCCTCCCAGTCTTTTTAAGCCCTGTCTTGTCTCTGTGTTGTGTCGGTACATTGTTTGTTTGTCAGCGTAGTTTTTGGTGCTCTGTGTGAGCTTTGGTGTCTCGTTCTCGAGTTCTTGTGCTCTAGGTGAGTTTTTGTTCTAGTCACCAGGTTTTTGGGTTTTTGGATTTTTGGGCTCGCTGCCTTTTGGATTTATTTTTGTTTCTCCTGCAAAATAAAAGTATTTTTACTTTATACCAACTCCTGCCTCTTGTCATCTGGTGATCTGCATTTTGGGTCCTAACCATCCGCACAACGTGACAATTGATTCCCCACGTTACCAAAGTGATCCCTTTGACTTTTTCCATGTTCCCAGCATTCTGAAAGTACCTCCTCTGTGGGATGTGTGTCATTGTGGCTATTAAGATGCACCCAGTAATTCAACAATATTTGTTTCCTTCTAAGATCCAGAAGCAATTCTCCACCTGTAGTGCATTGACTAGGGAGGTCTTAAATGCTCCACAGCACACATAAAGAGCCTGTGACTGCAGAACATCCAGACTGCTGACCCATCCAGCACGCTACACACCCATAATCACAGACAGATCTAATCACTGCCTGGTAAAGTCTCTTCAAAGCAGAACAGCTCACTTCCCATTCCCTCCCAACGTCTCATAACGTTCAGAACTTTCTTGCACTTTGTTTCTATTCTTTCGATATGCTGCCTCCATGCCAGGCATGCATCAAGTACAACACCTAAATACTTTAAAATAACTCACTTTTTCTATTTCCTTTTCATACATACGCATTTTCAAAGTGTCACTCACAGCCTTTTTAGTGAAAAACATCATTTTTGTTTTTTCCACGGAAAACCGGAATTCTATCCCCCCACTCAACCACAATGTTTAAAGCATCTTTCTTCTGTTTTTCCATAATGCGCCATCATCCGTGAACAAACACCTTCCAATTCCCTCAGGAACTTTAGAAAAAAGTCATTGATTATAATGACAAACAGTAGAGGGCTAACCACACTTCCCTGAGGTGTACCATTTTCAACCACATACTGACAAGAAGTCGCAGTCCCAATACGCACCTGTATCTTTCTACCAGATAAGAAATCTTGAATCCAGTTGAAGATCCTTCCACCAATACCCAATCTGTGCAACTTAATAAAAGCCCATCCCTCCACAACATACCATACGCCTTTTCTATATCAAAAACACGGCTAAAACTGACTCTTTATTCATCTGTGCTCTTCTAAAGACATCTTCAAGCCTAACAACAACATCAGTTGTATTTCGAGCTTTTCTGAAACGACCTTGATGGTTCGCTAAAACTCCTCACCTTTCCAGTTCACAGGACAATCTTTCCTTTATCATACATCCATTAGTTTACACACAGCCGACGTTAGAGTAATTGGCCTATAACTACCTGGATGAGATGGATCCTTGCCTGGTTTTCTTATGGAACAATTACAGACTCTTTCCATATGCTTGGGAGCTGTCCCTTAATCCAAACAATATTAATCAAAAACAGCAATGTATTAACCCTTCCACCATCCTCATGGGTGAGGAGTGAGCACCACCTCACCCCTGCTATGTGGACCTCAAGGGATAAACCATCAACCCTGCTCAATGGTCAACTTTCCTGGTGGGGTCACCCATGAGGACAGTAGGAGGGTTAAGCGCTTTCATACCAAGATTTTTCAACATTAAATAACAAATCCGATCCTTTCCAGGAACTGTGGGCTTTGTTTTCTAAAAAGCTCCTACTATTTCCTCCAAAGTAAACAAAACTTCCAAACCCGTATCTGAAAGTGTTTTTTTAAGGCCTCTGGATTCTGTGCTTTTGTTTGACCAGCGTTGTGTTGTCAGCCAGCTCCTTGAATACCCCATAGTGAATAATTGGTGATCGGCTACAGGTGGCAGCTGATGCCGCTCTGCTGACACGTCCACCTGCAGAGTAGCAGACTCAGAAACATGGTGAATGAAGGAAAACTGCACAGACTGTGACCGTTACACTGTGGGGACATTTTGCTTGTCCAAACGATACTAAGCTTTTTTAGACGTTTGGTGTGAATGAACTTTTAGTCTAGGTTAGGGTTAGGCATAGTGGACTCACTAAAATGAATGGAAGTCAATGGAGGTTCATACAAGCATATAAATACAAGTGTGTGTGTGTGTGTGTGTGTGTGTGTGTGTGTGTGTGTGTGTGTGTGTGTGTGTGTGTGTGTGCATGTGTGTGTGTGTGAACATGTGTGCATGTGTGTGTTTATGTGTGTGTGTGTGTCTGTGCATGTGTGTGTGCGTGCTCCAGCTTTACCTTGCTGTCGATATGAGGTCATAGAAGCATAGAGGGGGAGGGGTTACTCCCATCTGGAAGGATGCAAACACTCCACCTCCTAATTAACCCCTTCATTCTCCCAGTCTGAAACCTGGCAACCCATCTCCATAGTAACAAGGATGGTGGGAGACAGGAGTGGCAGTCCACTAGAACATCTGGGAGTTGGTGCTGCTGAAAACATGAAACTGCCTAATATTTATAATCGTCATTAGACTTTTTCTTCCTGTGTGTTTGATGCTGAAGCTGATCTCTGAACAGCAGTGGCTTTATCAAAACTGGTGTTTTATTGTTTGTGATGCTGTTGAATGCACACAAAGTGACTGGAGAGTGATTTGTGATTCCATGTTCTGGGATTGGGAACTCTGGCGTAGTGGACTCCTCCTGTGTGTCTATTATCTGGTCTGTAATCCGAGAAGAAGCAGTGCAGCTCAGCTTGAATAATTTCTCCATCCTGTTTCCATTAATCTGCATCTCACACGTCTGGCTCAGGGAGGATGCTGTGAGCAGGATCAGAACCAACTGTGTGTTTTATGGTCTGGACCAGGAACATGAGCTCTGGAACAACCAGAGGTTCTGGTTGCAGCGGGTGGTGGTGGGGTGGGGGAGGGGTGGTTTACCCAAGGACACACACCCGCCATCTTGTTTTAACAGAGAAGAGGTTTACTCCCGTGAACTCCAGTCATTGATTGCTGCTTTGTGAACTTAGTGAGGCCCTAGAGTCTGGGGTGCAGCTCTGTGACGTTTTGATGATCGGCAGGGACGCCTGGTCCTGTGAAGACTGTCAGCTCTCCCAGCTGGGAAGAGCTCATTTGTTACACACTCACTCTTTTTTGAGTCACTTTGTAGCGTTGGGAAAGTCCAGCAGAGTTATCTGTCCACATTAAGGTCAGAGGTCAACAGACAGAAGTGTCCAGCAGTTCCCCCCCCCCCCCCCCCCCCCCAGTGGGTGGAGACCAGGATGAGGTGTCTCATGGAGCACCGAGACGACACAGACACTAGAGCTGCGGTTGACCAGTGAAACACCATAATGACTAGCCACATGGGTGTCGCTACAAGAGGTAACAAGGTCTTGGGGGAACTTCATGGGCAACGGTTGAGTCAACCGAGTCCAGAGCTTCAACCCACAGAGGTCAGTGATGGGCCAGTACTGAAGGACACCACTTTAGCAGACCCCACTGGGGCTCGACACACGGGAGGCACAGAGGGGGCCGGATCCCGGGAACATACCATACAGATCACTGCAACTAAGAGGACCCAAAGCTGAGGTAGAGTTGAAGAGAAGATTCGTAAAGTAATCAGTTCCCAATTAGAAGACGTCTTCGGAAGCTAACACGACAAAACTTCACATAGAGCTCTTAGCGAGATGGTAGTGATGAGAAAAATGGTGGACAAGGGTGGGGCTAACACCCCCTTTTATACTGGAACAGGACCCATGGTAGGCAGGTGTATTTTGTAAGCACTTTAACGTGTGGCTGACCCAAGAATGGCCCCTCCAATGGCAGCCTAAAAGGGCGGAGCCTATACGAAATAGAACTGCAAATGAGAAAAAGCTGAGACAAATAAACACAAAAGAGATTATTTACTGTTTGTTGGGAGCTGTGGTGGGTGTAGAGTCTAATACTATCTGTCGAATGCAACAAAGAGTGCATGGCTGTGATTGGTCGGCCCATTGCAGTGTTGTTAGTGGATGGACTAACACAGCTGAACGTTTTCTTTTCTTGAGATCAAGCAGTTCCAGCTCAATGAAATGTCCTCTCTGTTGGCCATTGCACCTCAAGTGGCCTGGCGTTTACAAAGTTTCTGGCTTTTCAAATCCCAATATCAACACAAGAATCTAAAAATTGTGTTTACAAGCTGGAGAACTTGAACTCATTGACCAGAGACGTCACTGCAATGATAGGCAGACCCACCTGGAAAAGGCGTGTGCCCCCGCCTGTCCCGGCAGACACCAATGGAGAAGTAGAACAGGAAAACATCTGTCAACACGTGTGCGTGAGTGCAAACTATCTGAAGAAGTATCTACTAGGCTTAACTGTTCTGGGAGGAAGGACCTATGACATAAGGTGCAACAGTCTGTCCCTGAAGGAGCATGGGGTGGGAGACAATGTCTAACAGTGATGTTATTCAATTCAATTCAATTCAAGTTTATTTATATAGCGCCAAATCACGACAAGAGTCGTCTCAAGGCACTTCACATAATAAACATTATTTTGTCCCACCTCCGACACTGGATCGAGGAACATCTAGTGCTGGCCTTCTTAACGAGCTTATCTAATATCTCAGGGGCATCAGTAGCTCAGGAGGTAGAGCAGTTTGTCCAGCAATCGAAGGGCTGTAGGATTGATCCCGGCAGAGAATGCTGCTGTTGCGTCCTTTTGGGGAGGACACCTTACCTGCTGGCAGTGGCGCCTGTGCTCAGCAGCCTCACCTGGGGCAGCTGTGTGTAAAGTTGGACTCCTCGACCATCTTTTCCAACTGCTGAGATCCTCATTGGATCTACTGCAGTATACCTTCTAGCCTGAAATTGGGGTGGATGATGCCACCATCTACCTTCTACACTAAGCTCTAACTCTCCTGAAGAGGCTTGGAATCACTGTGAGGATCATGTTTTTTTTATTTCTCCAGTGCTTTTAACAGCATCCAAGCGACCCCAGGGGGACAAGCTGGAGATGACAGAAGTGGACCACCACATGTCACAGAGGGTACTCAACTAGCTCAAAGAGCGTTTGTTAGAAAACAGAGTTGTGTCTGAGAACATGGTCTGCAGTACGGAGCGGTACTGTTCACACTCCACACCAGTGGTTCTCAAGCTTGGTCCTGGAGGGTTGGTATCCAGCGTGTTTTAATGATTTCTCTGCTCCAACAAACTTGATTCAGTGGTTAAATCACCTGCAGGAGCTCATCAGGCTCTGCAGAAGCCTGTTAACTACCTGCTGACTGAAATCAGGTGTGTTGAAGCAGAGTTAAAACTAAAAGTGCTGGATACCAGCCCTCCGGGACCGGGATGAAGTACCACTGCTCTACACTGTAGACTGCTCCATCAGCTGACTTCTACCGAAGTTCTCAGAAGACAGCCATGTTCGGCCTCATCACAGGTGGGGACGACTCAGAGTAGACAGGAAACACAGGATATATGCAACCACCTTCTGATCCATGTGGGGGAAACCAAGGAGCAGGTGGTAGATATCCACAGACACAGGCCCTCTACTTTGGTACTGGTCAACATCCGGGGAACAGACGTTGAGATAAGCGATTCTTTTAGGTACCGGGGTGTTCACAGGACTGGAGCCACAACACTCATGCTCATTTAAGGAAGGGTCAGAGCAGATTCTAGCTGCTGAGGAGACTGAGATCCTTTTGACTGCAGGGGGCACTCCTAACACCTTCTCTGACTCAGTGCTGGCATTAGCCATCCTGTCTGGTATGGCTTGTCTGCTGATGAGACAGAGAATAGATAAACTCATCAAGATCAAGAATGCCAGCTCTGTCCTAGGTTTCACCCTCAAAACAGTGCAGCAGGAGGTAGGAGACAGAAGGACTCTAATGGTACAAAAATCACTGTTAGACAAGCCGCCACCCCCATACATGAAGCTGCTGTGGAGCTGGAGAGCTCCTTCAGCTGCAGACTGCTGCAGCCTATAGGGAACGGTATGGTCCTACCTCCCAGCAGCTGTTTGACTCAACAACCACCACTGCTCCCAACAGAATCCCTTTTGGACCCTCTCATCCCTGCTACTTAGGTATTGTGCACATTTTCGTCATTCTACCAGCACCCATTCATTATTGCATCTGCACGTTCCCGTTTGCTGTAAATGCTCCACACTTTTTATTTCTTAAAAATGAAATAATTTAATATTTGAGTATTTCTGCGTCACATTTTCTTGCTATTTAATCGTCTTTACTCTTTAATGGTTGACTGTCTTTTTATTGCTCTTGCTGTGACACCAACATTTTCTCACTGAGCGACAATAAGAGAATTCTCTATTACATAAATCTACAAACAAGAAAAATGTCAAATCTTTTGTAGCAAGTTATGCTTTTTTATTCTGACTAAAAGTGATGAATGTACAGGTTTTACTTCTGGATTCATGAAGCACGTGTTGGTTTGTTATGGGTTGTAATGATGGTACCCAGAGGATGATGTAGCACCTTTGTGATAATGCCATGAGGCTGTTTCAAACATGCCTGCTTTTTCACGGGGCTCACCGCTTGTACTAACTAACCCGACTGAAACTCTAGATATATACAGGGCAGAGCAGCAGTCTCTGCCTCAGTCCACCTTAGATGGACTAGTCAGTCTGGTTTCCATCTAGGGCGAAGCGAACGACTCCGACGCTCCTTCGAGGCTCGCTTCTGTCCAGTCGTGGTCCTCCTCCAGCAGCACCCTGGGGATGATGATGACTGGGTCGGAGAACCTCGTCTTTAGAATCTCTAGGAGGCAGCACATGGTTTAGACAGCAGGGGAAGAAACAGAGAGAGACACAAGATGAGACGTTTCCCTCTGGGTTGAGCTGAGCACCCTGTGACCGCTCATTTCTGGGTAACTCTGCCACAAACTTTACAGAAACACAATCTTTATAGAAAACAGGAATATTCTTAACAATTATAGTTTACATCCGGACTTCATCAGTCAGCATCATCACTGACTGCCCATGAAGCAATGAGGGTCTCGGGGTGATCTTTCAAAACACAAGATGATGTGCAATAATGGGAACATCTCAAGCCTGATTTATGCTTCTCCGTCTGCGTCAGTGCGGAGACACGCAACGCCATTATCCGTCCTTGCGTAGGGCTCCGGCAGGCACGCAAGTACGTACGGAGTCAATCCCACTTTTTTAAATATCAGTCGAACGAGACGGATTACGCAAGCTTGTGATTGGTCAGGACGCCGCTGTTGTTTACAGCGCCGTCATTGCAAAGAGAGCCGAGGATAACTAGCGGCAGACACGGAGAAGCCTGAAGAATACCTCGCAAAAAAACTCTACAAATATGAATGTTTAATTCTCCCGTGACTGGAGGAGTGAAAAGATGTGCAGCAAGCATTTTATTTGTGGACGGAAATGACAGGAAACATGGGTTTAGAGGTGGGGAGCGCATGAAGCGGTGGGAGAATGAGAGACAAATATGTCTGTGTTAAAAGTCTCTTATATACACAAAAAACACAATATAAACACACGATCTTGGACCGATACATGACAGGATACCACAGAACAGCGCTCCGCCCTCTGTTGTCCTGCCTGGGGAATTGCTTTGCAACACTCTCCAGGAGATGGAGAAGCATGAGGGCAAAATGCATCCGTCAATCCGTGCGTGTCTGTCCCTTACAGAGCTGACGGAGAAGCATGAACCAGGCTTAACTCCCTTTAGAGTTAATCTGAGAACAAAATACAAATATGTGTCATCGGCATGCACTTACACTTGTTCTTAACTTTTTCCAAGGCGGTGTTGCTCCCTTCATTCCATTCATACTTACCCTCCATCTTACACCATCACATGGCCTAGATGGAGGGCAAAGCCAAGGCCACTACACGGAGCTGAGACTGAACTGCAGGTCCAACAGAAAACAGCGGCTGCATGCTTTACAAACAGATTCTTAATGAAGTTAGAAGATAAAATGAAACCTAAAACCACTGTCACACTGCATATCTGCCTTGTGTTTCAGAGGCAGGAGGATGTTAGCAGATCATTATGTCTCTGCTTGACAAAACACAGAAGGTTCAGCTGAAGGTTTGGGGTTCCAGTAGTAGCTCCGCCCCATATCTGCTGAGACCTTCCCTTCATTTTTTAAATGGGAGATGATCTGGGCAGCTCTGCCACCATGGCAGGAGTAGCAGGATCTGCAGCAGCACCACAGTCCAAAACATGTTCATTTTTGCCTATTTGTAACACTGGTTTCAGGGTAGGATGGGCGATGTGGCTACATTCACTCACTCTGGCTACCTGGAAGAAGAAGCCAGCTCAAATCGGCTCTGAGGGCCATCTCATGCACTACTGACACATCACTGGTGTGGCTGTCTTTCAACCACACTGTAGTAACGTGCCACTATACATGCCCAGTAATGGTAACGGCATTGCAACGATGGTAAAAGTAATTAGATTACTCCATTACCTAAAAAAGAATGCTGTTAGTAAAGCCGTTACTTTCACCACTGCAAATCACCACATTTTAGTTTTTATTGGCACCTTCTGGCCTCTTCAGACTCAAACATTACAGCAATCAAATCAACAAGATGGTAACAACACATCCAGATCCTGCAACAGCCCCTTCTCCACCCAATCAGCTGCCTTGGATGTGGCAAGATACAAAACAGTGTGACAGCAGTTTAAGATGTCACATGCTCTAGTTTCATGTGACAACAGCAGTAGTGACCCGTTTCTGATTCTTTGACCAATGAAACCATTTATTCATGCAGCAGCAGCTGGGTCAAGTATGGCTCAAGATGGCTGGAATAGGCTTCTGGCTTCCTTATGAGAAGCCGCCTTAAGGAACCGCACATGTACGATGTGATGTCAGGCAGGACACCCCCCCCCCCCCGAATCCATATGGAAGAGAAATACAAAGGCGAGCCAACCAAAAAGATGCAGTGGTTTACTAAAACAACAAATGCACTGTGCCACTGAAATGGAAAGAAAGGCAAACCACAACTCCATGAGCGGGTACGAAGAGATGCTTTCTGGCTGTTAGGCTTTCTGGCATCTGTGACTGGGATTACCTGGGTTCGGGTAGAGCACAGCCCCACAGGTGTTGCTTTAGAGTCTGCACCCAGCCAATGTCTCGGATTGGCTGGCAGAGTTGTATGTAGTGGTACTGTTTTAGCACAACCCTTCAAATGAATCAGAAGGTCACTCATTAGCATTGCTCACACTGGACACAGCATCATCTAACATCTACGAACACTCAAATATGACATTCGAGAGAGAACAAGGTCATCTCAGCAAGTTTCACATCACTCATGTGTTTTAGGTGGTCTTTCTAACCTACTAGAAGCTGAGAAAGCACATGGCATCTTATTCGGGTACAAGCGTCCAGACATCTTTTCACACACATGTTGCATAGATCAAGATTTTGTGGAATATATTGAGACAAGATGCAAAAAATAATATAATCCCCAGTGTCGTATGAGGGCAACATGCACAAGCTGAAAAGATGCCCCCGCTAGAACCAGAATGTGGTGCAATCTCAGGATAAAGCATAGAAAGAGACTGCAAGAGCAACATGCTCTTCCATGTGGAAAACGATTACAAATGTTGTCTGAAGATAAGGATGGGGGAGGATGGGGGGAGCGCTGACAGATACCCGCAAACCAGCTAACCTTTAACCATCCCTCTCAATAGAAAGAAGCAGACACCGCTTTTTAAGCTGTTTTACATTTATTTGTGATGTTTCATTAAATAAGATCAAGCAGAACACAAGCACGTCACACACTTCTGTCTAAACCATACTTCCTATGCTCATTAGCCTAATTATTACATAGAGATAGCACCAAGTGTGTGATGTACTAACTTACATGGTGTGACCCTTAAAGCCCCCTCCCTTGTATTACATTACAAGTGCACCCCCACCCCCCCACCCCCCACCCCAACACCACCAGCCAAAGGCTGCAAAATGCTAATGAGTTAGAGCCCAGAGTGGAGCTTGGATAGTTGCAGTGGTGGTGATGGATACACACACATGTAGGACAGTGATGGTCTGAACTCTCCAGCCTTGATTATTTTCAGGTGTAACTGAAACCTGCTGCAGATTTGTTGTGTTTGTCACTTAAATGTTTCAGATCAGCAAACTTCAGCGTCAGACAAAATAACTTGAGTAAAATTATGATTTTATTTATTAGGGCAGTGTCCCTCAATTAGTGGGGTATGCCCCCACCTGGGGGTGCTTGAGGGGTTATCTGGGGGTGGGGTGAGAGAGGAAATGGCCAAAATGCCAGCTGTTGGCAGAAAAAGACGAGAAGATAAGACAAAGTCTTCGTAACCCTGGATTTGACTTTTAATAGTTGGAAATGAGGGAAAAGCCCACTAGAGGGGATGAGAAAGAAACTGCTGGTGGAGCTACATTTCTAATAGATTTGCCTGTTTCAGTTCAGCTTTAAACAAGGTGGATGTATTTGATATAGCTCCTTCTAGAGTCCTAGAACCCCCCCCCCCCCCCCCCCCCCAGATGTTTTACAACACAATCGGTCTTTCACCTATTCACACACACATTCACACACTGGTGGGGATGAGCTACACTGACAGAGGCCACAGACCCAGGTCTTGGTGTTACCATTGATTCAGACCTGATCTTCACTGGTTACATTAAGGCTATAACTATCGTTGGTGTGTTCTTGCTGTGTTGAGTTTCAAATTCCATCTTTCAGTTCTTTTTAAAACACAGAAAAGGTTTATTTACCTGCAACGTTTCGTTCGCGGCTGCAAACATCATCAGGCTGACGCAGATGGTGGCGTCACTTCCTTCGTTTATCCGCGGGCAGCAGAGGACGTTGTCGCCCTCTGCTGCCCGCTCTCCCCTCTCCGATGATGTAGTCCCATGCGCGGTCCAACGAGTAAACTCCGTTGTCCCTGTTCATGGTCCCGCATCCATGTCTCCTTATCTCGATTGCTTCTTTTATCCATCTCTTGTATTTCTGTTGTTCAATGTTTATGATCCTTGTGTTGTCCCAGTCCATTACATGGTTTTCTCTTATGCAGTGATCTGTTACGGCTGACTTCTTTATTGTGCTTTCTGCTTCTTCTTTTGCTGCTCTTGAGTGTTTTCGACTTGCCTCTTTCTCGCACTCCTTTCTATGTTCTATTGTTCGTGTGTTGAGTTGGCGTCCGGTTTCTCCTATGTATGTTTTATTGCAGAGTTTGCATGGGATTTCCTAAACGACTCCACATTTAAGTCCAGCTGGTATCTTGTCTTTTGGGTGTACTAGTCTGTTTCTAACTGTTGTGTATGGTTTTGTTGGTGTGTTTATGTTGTGTTTTTTCATTGTTGCTCTTATTTTTTCTGTTATGCCTCTGATGTATGGTAGGGTTATCACTGGTTTTTGTTCTTGTCTTTCTGGGTTTCTGGTTCTTTGCTGTGGTTGTTTTTTTCTTTCTGTTGTTGTTTGTTGTTTTCCTTTGTTTACTGCCCATGTTGGGTATCTGCAGGTCTTTAAAGCGTGTTGTATGTGTTTGTCCTCTTGTTTACGGTCTCTTTCTTCTGCTACCATGTTTGCTCTGGGATATAATGTTCTGATTACTGACATTTTGTGTATGGTAGGGTTTTCTGATGTCCATAATAAGTATTGGTCTGTGTGTGTTGGTTTCCTATATGTGTTTATGTTTAGGGTCCCGTCTGTCTGCCTGCTTATTTTCATGTACATAAATGCCCTCTCCGATGATGCAGTCCCATGCTATAGAGGAAGCTATGGAGATAAGGAGACGTGGATGTAAGAGCGGGCAGCAGAGGGCGATAACGTCCTCTGCTGCCCGCCGATAAAGAGTAGGAAGTGATGCCACCATTAGCGTCAGCTCTGAGGATGTTTGCAGCTGCAAACGAAACGTCAGCTAGGTAAAGAAAAACGTTATCTGTGTTTAAAAAAGAACCAAAAATGCTGAAGAAATCGTGTCAACAGAACCTGTCTGGCAGCACGAAGCAGGCTAGAAACCAAAAACACACATCAGGCCCTGTTTCAGAGAGATAACAAGAACAAAGAACCCTGAAAGACCTGCAGGACTCATGTGAGTCAGGTTAAGGTCAGAGGTCGGGATTCAGCTCTAGAACCAGAACCTCTGCTGATCAAAACAACCCAAGGACCCAGCTCACATTTACCAGAAACATCCAGATGACCCCAGTGGCCTCTGGGCAAATATCCTGTGACCGAAGAGACCAGAGCAGAAGCGTGTGGAAGGTAAGCGTCCCACCCCATCAGGAGTCAGACATGGTGCTGCTAGTGTGATGGTCTGGGGCTGCTCTGCTGCTTCGTGACCTGGACCACCTGCTGGACCCATGAATGCTGCTCTCTAGCAGCAGAACTTCTGACCTTATAATCTGTCTTTACTCCTGTGATCTTTGTCTGACATCAGATCTGTCTGCTGACTTGAAACATTTGGGAGTGACATCAGAGCAAACACCGGAAACATCTGTAAGGAGAATGCGTTTCCACATGAAGTGACACAAGCATCGATAAACAGTTTCTCATTTGTTGTTATTAAAAATATTCCAGTGAGGTTTCAGCAGGTCTATAATACTCTAACTATTGCATCTACTTTGTAATCTGACTACGAAATGCGCTCTCTGTGTCAGTGTTGATCAGAAGCAGCTCGTTTTATTTGCTACACGTTCTTGAACGCAGCACGAGCTGCTGCTCGCAGAGGTCAGCTTCCAAACCCAGAAGGTGCTCTGGACGTCTGTGGCCGAAATCAGTCAGCTGGGAACCATATGATCTGTGGTGATAATAAACCCCCCTCTGGGTGTTTTTAGTGTCAAAATAGACACGTGCATGGGGGGGGGGGGGGGGGCATTAGCCCCGCCCCCTACAACCAGCTGAAATGAGCTGAGGTCTACAGCCACTATGAACTTGTTTCTGTCTTCATGATGTCTGAACTCGACAGCAGAAAGGCTGGCAAGCCTTCTCACAGCAGCGTCACAATAACAGCTAAACTGAGACGAGTGTGAGACCCATAAAGTCTTTGCGTACGCTGGCATGAGTGTGGAAGGAGAGAGGGACCAGTAGACGAGCTTCTTCTTCAGTAGGGAGGAAGTTGCTCCAGTTTCCTGGTCCGTCAGTGGCCCAATCCCAACACTCACACTTCCACACTTGTGCCCTTCAATTGTGCCATCCCGATGAGGGGTGTGTGTGTGTAGGGTGCCCCGATTCTCAACTGTAGAAGTTGATCACACCCTTTTTGCAGCCTTGATCCGCCCTTCGCCTAAGTCTGCATCGATGAGGATCGCCATACGTTTAGCGCAAACCCCCCAGGCCCCAGCTCGTCTCACTCACAAACCATTGCTGTGGGAGAACAAGCTCAAGTGCCTTTCTGAAAATGTGTATTTTTAAATGAAAGTAGTTCATTTTAGTATGATTAGTTGATGCTCTGAATGTTTTAGAAAGAGCAGCAATCAAGGCCCATAGGGCTCAGTGCGAGCATCGGGACTGGGCCAGCGTTCCAGCCCCTAAGCCTCAGAGATGAGCTGAGGAGCACCACCCTCTGGCAGGAACTCCTCACCAAGAGGAGGCATCTGAAGAGATTCCAGCATTTTACTAGAATGTGCCTTGAACCTCTCTCCCATCAGCTGTTCCAGGTACATCCCACCTGGAGAACCCAGAACATGTTTGAGGGATCAGAAATCCTGTCTAGAGGGATCTCAGGAGTCCTGTTACCTCCATAACCTTCCATAAGACAAGGAAAAAGAACTGAGATACCAGAGAAGCGAAAGCACGGTTCTGGGAGGAAACTCCTCCATGCACATTTTGGAAACTTTCCCGTTAGAACTGTTAGAACAATCTGTCACCAACAGCTGCAGCCCAGTGTTTAGGAGTAGCAGGACGGTTACCCGTTTTATTTAGATCTCCATGTGCACCAAGCTGTTCCCAAATGTTCTGATGTGACTTACTTATAGGCCAAGACACAACTTAACATCTCTGAGTAGTTGGTCTAGTAACCAGCCAACCTAATCCAACTCAGACCAAGAACTGAGAAAAGAAGAGTGAGCTGAAGGCTCCCGTCTCCGTCTGGTTCACATCAGGATGAACACGTTACAGCTCGTCTTACAGATGGTGCACTCAGTCCCATCTCTGCGAGCTGCTAGCCTAGCATCACACCATGCTAGCAGCAGTCGTCCTCAGCTGAGAGCAGAGCCACAACCCAGAGGGCCGGGTATGGGTCTGGATATGAACCCCAGACCAGGTGTTATAGGAGGAGTTTCCCATGATGGGGCCCGTTCTGAACGGGAAAGCTGTTTAAAGAGTAAAGATGATGTTTATGCAGCTAAACACTGAGTCCACACTGAAACACGTTGTTTGTGACAATGCTGCCAAACACAGACGCCGTTAAGGTTCATAAAGAAAGAACCGCAGCAGCAGAAGTAACAACTAAATAACCAAGCAGGACATTTATCAAAGATTTCCAGGTTTGTTGATCCTTTTAGAGCAGGAATCGTGTCCAAAGAGCCAAAACAATGCACCGCTCATTCCCAAACGTTCAAATCCTTGATAAACTGTACAAAGCAATCTGCTCAGCTGATCACAGCCAACGCTCCACACATGCTTGTGTATGGGCCCATGCAGCAAGAGTCATCCATTGGTTGGCCAGGCAGCCAGTAGCCATGGCAACCTGGAGATGCAGGCGAGCAGAGTGGGGGAAGGTGGGTGGCATCAAAGCTCGGAGACAGCAAAGGGGGTGCTTCCGCCCCCTCAGAACTACAGAGGGAGCATGGATGGCAAGTTACTCTCGAGGTGAGCGGTAGTGAGAGGCGAGAGCCGGAGAATGACACAGAGAAGAAGAAGAAGTGACAGCCGAGAACAAAGATGAGAACTTAGAACATATTTTACAGCCTCTGTGCTTGTTTCCCACAAAAAGAAAGAAAAGGAGTAGAGCTAAATGGTTTTTACTCTTTTGCCTCAGCCAGTTTGTTGTTGATCTCTTTACTTTTCTCTTTGTCCCCCCGGCTCTCGGGCTGGTTCTCCGAGGTGGTCTTCCTGGAGCCCTTCAGCGCACTGCTCTGCTTATCTCTGGCTTTCCTCGCTGGTTTACCCTGACCTGCTGCTGTGGCTCCAGACTTCCTGGGTTTAGAGCGTGGGACACTGTACCTGTCGACCTAGGGGTGTCAGAGGGCAAATATGTGATTCCTGCACCTAAACAAGTTGGTTATGCTTTCTAGAACAATCTCATGTTCTGGCCCTGACCTGTTTGCCGGGGTCGATGTAAGGCTCGCTGTACAGGCTGCGTATCCTCCTCCTGTCCTGGGCTCTGTTGTCCACAGGCTGCAGCGGCGCTTGAGGCTTGAAGGTGGCACTGTAGCTGGTCTCCAGGCTGGTCTTCCCGTCGGGTGGCAGGTACTGAGACTTGGCCCGGATCATCTTTACTGGCTTCACGTCTCTGTAAGCCTTGAACTCAGTTCTGAAGGGAAAAACAGAAAGGCTGTTGTCATCAAACTGCATATTTATCCCAAAACAGAAAGCATAAATACTAAATACTGGTCTCTAACATTTGAGGGTCACTACACATTTAGCACAAACCCCCGGACCCCGTGGCTTCTGTGGTGACTAAAGAAGTCCCTTTGTTAACTATTAATGAGCTGACATCACAAAGCTGTGTGGGGGTGATTAAATGCTTGAAATTATGAATAATTATATTTGATTGACAGGTAGCATGAGCATCAGCGCTAGCCCCAAGGAAAGGCCTCAGCCTCGGACTCATGCTAGCAGATGTTCGGCCATTTTGCCTCTGAACTTGAGCTGTGTCCTCGTGTGTTTGGATGCTAATCGTGGAGTTATTTGGACACAGAGGGCAAGCTGTGGTAGTGAAGAAGTCTCTGTTTCATTTTTACCAGTAAGTAAAATTATATTTCTGTACTTTATTTCGCTGGTTGAATGGAGGAAATGTTGTGTGTTTAGCATAACACTGCTAGGTCAAAGATGGGTTGAAGTATAATGTGTTGGTGGGGTTGGGTAATGAAACTCGAGCTGGCTAAGCTGACCAAGGCAAAGCCCAATGAGGTGGCACCCACCACAGCTTCCCAAGGGCACACAGACAGAAGTGAAGTGAAATGTCCAAATTACTGACAAACAGTAACTGTGCAGAGATTTGGTTGACCTCTTTGTTTGGCTTCCATCAGTGTCAGTCCATGGTTGGTCACATGGTCAGTAAGTGTTGCACAGACTCCTGAGTCAAGTTCATTTCTCATCTTCTTTGTTCAGGCTCTATCAACTCTTCAAGTCTTTCTCTACCTCTTCCTCCAACTCCTCCATCTCCTTTTCGAGCTCCCCCTCTGATTCTCACTCTTTCTTCTGCTTCTAGCTCCTTCCGCTCATGTTGAAGACAGGTTAGCTCACATGCTCCCTTTTACAGCACACCTTTCTAATTAACACACGTGTGCTCCCGCACCTGGTGACAATGATTAACCGACTAATTCATCAGTGTTATCCGGGGCTTTGTAATGAGGAGGAAGTAACATCAATCCTTTTCCGTGTCTAAGGTGTGGAGTTTGACAAATCACCGTGTGTAATGTTTTGCAAAAGCAGATATTAGGTGTAACATTGTGCAAATCTGGGGAGGTCTTCTGCTCATTGGAGTAGAGTTTTACAAATTGTGTAGAAAGAGAAGTCTGGGCCACTCGGCTTAGGCTGCTGCCCCCGCGACCTGACTCCCGGAAGAGGAAGAAAACAGATAGGTGGATGGGTGTAGAAATTTTTATTTTAGTGTGTAAACAATCCTCTAGTATCATCATAAAAATGTCGTGTGGTCTACGCTAAAGTAGCTGATGATAGAAGTCCTGCCTGTAATGCTGCAGAGCTGACATCACACTGAGTTGTTACGTAACAGGACACAAGTCCTCATATAGTACTAGACCGAGCCAGCGGGCCTCGTGTGTGTGTGTGTGTGTGTGTGTGTGTGTGTGTGTGTGTGTGTGTGTGTGTGAGAGAGAGAGAGAGAGAGAGAGAGAAACAGGGATCTGTACCATCACTGGTCTGTATCATATGACTCAGCAACAATAACGCCTGTGTCACAGAGCTCAGACGTCTCCTGGTACGTGGTGATACATGAGTTCATCTCTAGCAGAGTTGCTCATCCTGTCTGGAGCAGTTTAGTCTCCACCTAGCTTCATGTATGGCATTAGGGTCAGTCTGGCCATGTAACTGGACCACAGATATCTAGCATGATGGGAGAAATCAGCCAAAACAAAACTCGTAATGTTTTGGGACCATTAAAGGTGTAGTATGTAAGTTGAAATTGTCAAAAGAACTTTAAAAATCCAGAAATCTGCTCTATGAGAAAAAGTCAATAATATTTCATATGCTCCCTTAACTATGTTTATTTGTCAATCACGGTCAGGGTGAGAGATCAGACAAACGGCAACCCAGAGACCCGGACGCGGGTCACTGGGGGCCCCTTCTAGAGCTAGGCCTGGAGGTGGGCCACGCTGGCGAGCGCCTGGTGGCCGGGCTTTCACCCATGGAGCCTGGGACTGTTTCGCTTATGTGGGCAAAGACAGTGAGGCCTGGAGAGGCGTGATAGTTTGCCCAACCAATCTACCGTAATTTCCGGCCTACAAGCCGCTATTATTTCCCTGTGCTTTGAAGCCTGCGGCCAATATCATGGTGCGGCTCATGTGTAGATTGTTGTTGGCCAACAACCACTAGAGGCACTCTCCAGCAGTAAAGTGAGACCGGCACGGCAAAACGTTATGCGCGGAAGAAGACGCTCTTTGATTTAAAGCAGCACGTTTACACATCAGACACACCCTCGTCATGGAAAACACGCGGAGGAATGCATGTGCTGCAGCTTTCAAGTTAAAAGCGATTGATCCGGCCATCAGACAAGGAAACAGAGCCACTGCACGGGAGCTTGGCATAAATGAATCAATTGTGCGACGTTGGAGGTGACAGCAGGAAGAACTCAGTGTAAAAAAAAAGAAAAAAAAAAAGACAAAAGCTTTCAGAGGAAATAAAAGCAGATGGCTGGAAATGGAAAACATTCTTGAAGACTGGGTGAACACACAAAGGGCAGATGTCTGAGGTGTTTCCACTGTTTCCACTGTGCTGATCATTACTAACCAGGCATGTTTTGTGTGCAGTTTTTATTTTCTAATCATCCAGGGCTTATTAATGCTGTGTCAGCGCTGTTCTTCTCTTCTAAACATGCATGCAAATTACCGGTAATAACGTGCCAGTGCTGTTTTTATATTATAACCATCCAGAAATATTGAGCAGAACTCCGGACTGGCCACCGGAGGAAACTCTATAACCACTGCATCACGACAAGCTTTCAACAAGCTAAAAGCTGCCTACTGCTGACACAGCAAAACGGTTCCTTCAGCTATGCAGAAACAGCTGCTCTAGATGCAAACTAGTTCCAACCTGTGTGCCTGGTGACCTTTCTGGACTGGAGCATCGGTGCTGCGGTTAATCTACTGAACCTCGGTGCCCAGAGGTCATCCGACCTCCCTGACCTCCGGATCCACGAAGAGGGTCTCCAATGAAAGGATGAGGTAGGCACAGCATGATTGCGTCTGATGCCGTTTTGATAAGAACCAACTTCATAGTTTAATGCTAACCAAATTCATTTCACACCCAGAACTCAGTTCTTCTAGATACGAAGGTTCTGATAAACACACACACCATTCAATCACCACACATCACATCCCATCCACTTAGATTCATCCATCATACTAGTCTTGGTTAACTTGTCATGTTTTTAATTGTTTAGAAAATAAATTTCTTATCTTTTATAAACAACTCTGTCTGAATTGAGACGGAGTGTGTTTGATCCCTGAAAAAGCAAAGAATCCTAGAATCTTCTGATTAAACATCCAAAGACCAATCTGGTTGATATTCTATATTGAACATCACAGCTTTTTGGTCATAAGTAAAGATAATATATTAAGCTTAAAAGCACCAATATTTAACCCTGCATATCCAATACTTAGATCAGTGTTATGGCCGATAACCGATATTTGCCGATATTCTGACATTAATGCTTCTAAAATCAGCAGATTTTGTATAAAATAATATTGATTAAAGCTGAATTTGCGTTATTATGTACACACACCTTTATGCTTTACAGTCACTGTGACATGACTAAACAATCACACATCACCCCCCTCACCCTCTGAAACAGGCAAACAAATGGAAAAAATATCGATTGATAATGTCAGCCTGTTTTCTTTAATCGGGCCGATACAGATTTGTTAAAAAATGAGTGATACCGATATATTGTCCATCCCTAAAAAATCAAATAGATCTGAACCTTTTCTTATCTTTTCAGCATAGTTTAATGTAAAGTTTCTTTCAGTACAAAGTTTAATGACAACAACCCAACGAGACAAAGCCTGTATTTGTGTTCTGAACAGTTAAAACATGTTTTAAAAGGAGACGTGTGTGACGTGTCAAAAAGCAGGACCTGCTCATGCCCGGTAGGCCCCGCCCACAATGCCGTGGCTCCCAGTGTTTTCTTTACTGTGGGAAATGGATAATAACAGCTCTTTGGTTGGAAAAGGTTGCCGACCCCTGCTCTCCATGCTCCCCCTGGGCCAGGTCATAAACAATAATAACAACATCTATCATAGTTATGCAGATGATACCCAGATTTACCTAGCTATATCAACTCTAGACTCACTATCAATGTTTGGAGCAAGTTAAGGACCGGATGCAGTCAAACATCCTCCAGTTAAACAAAGACACGACTGAAGTTATTGTCTTTGGAAGTCAGGACAGGATGGAGGTTACTGCTCAGCTTGGCTCCAGAGGAACAAAGACAAAGACTCAGGTTAGATATCTTGGTGTCATTCAGACCTGATCTTCACTGATCACATTAAGGCTATAAGTAGATCAGTGCTGTATCATCTGCATCAAACAGCACGACTCAGAGGTCTCATGTCCAGACCAGACCTAGAGAAACTGATTCATGTGTTCATCTCCAGCAGGCTGGACTATTGCAGTGGTCTCCTAGCTGGTATTCCCAAAACAGCTGTGAAGCTGCTGCAGCTTATTCAGAATGCTGCTGCTAGAGTCTTAACAAGAACCAAGAGAACCGAGCACATCACTCCTGTTCTTAGATCTCTACACTGGTTACCAGTAAACTACAGAATAGATTTCAAAGTACTTCTACTAGTTTATAAACCACTCAGTGGCATGGGACCAGAACACATCAGATCTTCTTCAGGTATCTACGCCCAGCAGGGCTCTGAGATCCTTAGGAAACAGTCAGCTGGTAGAACCGGGTCAGAACCAAACAGGGTGAAGCTGCTTTTAGCTACTATGCTTCTCACAGATGGAATCAGCTTCCTCATGACCTCAGATGTTCCCCGACTCTAGAAACTTTTAAATCCAAATTAAAAAAACTTCATGTAATCATCGGTCTTTGTATGAATGTTCTGCTCACCCTTTAACCTTGTATCCTTTTAATTTTCAAATTGTATTTTCTGTTGATTTTAATGTTCTTGTAGCTGGGTTTCTGTGTGATGTCTCCATCAGAAGTGCTTTTATTGTGAAGGTATAAATCTGTGCCAAGTGAACTGACTCCTCACCGCTCACTCAGTTGAGCCAGGGTGAAGAGTCCTGACAGGATGACTGAGCCCTGTTGGGAAGGACTTCCTGAAATCTAGTGTGCATGATGACGTGGAGAGGTGGAAACTGGTGCGGGGAATGCTGGGAAGTGGAGTATAGTTGGTGTCTGGTGTGAAGTGGATGGCTGAAGGGCAGGAATCGTGACATAAATGGGCACTGGTGATCTGTGATAACAGCTAGAGACGCTAGCTGAAGCATGTCAGGTAAAAAGCTATTTTTTACTAAAACCGTGTAAAAAAGAACAATGTCATGAATGATTTTGGTGTGTCACAGCTGCAGGTGGGAATGCAGGTCATTCAAAGTGATTTAGCTTGGATTACCAGACAGGAGGAGCAGATATTCGATGAAGTTTTGTTCTTATTGATCAAAGTCAGTAGGTCTCCGTTTCTGCAGGATGCTGACAGGTGCAGCGATTCTGCTATTAATGATTTTCACCTGCAGTCATTCTGATTATCTGGGCCACCAAGCAGAACTGGGACCACTACTGAGTGATTTTAGGGAGATTTTACTCACGATGCTAGTTGGATGTATTCACTTACTTTGTTTTATGCTAAGCTAAAGGAGCACAGACGGGTCAGGAGAATGACTGGGCTGGTTAAAACGGCTTTTCCCCACTAAACTCACTTAAATAACTCCGAAATTGTGGGTACACCAGCTTTCAAGCAACTGAAATCACGTTAAAGAAGTTTACTGGCAGGCTGACCAGACAGCAGGTAGACAAGCGTAGAGTCTTAACTATGTCCTCTAGTGTTTCAGCACCAAACACATGGAAAACTAGCTCATTATTGTCAATAATAATAATAATAATAATAATAATAATGTTTAACCATTGCTGACGGAAGACGAGAGGATTCAGCGTGTGTGACCTTTGACCCTGTGTGTGTGTGTGTGTGTGTGTGTGTGAGACCTTTGACCCTATATGAACCCTGTGTGTGTGTGTGTGTGTGTGTGTGTGTGTGTGTGTGTGTGAGAGAGAGAGAGAGAGACCTTTGACCCTATATGAACCCTGGAACCGTGTGTGTGCACTTGTCTTTATGGGTTTGTGTGGACCAACCCCTGACGGGAGACCAACATTGTGTGGACATTCACCATTGTGTGGACATTTACCCGGTCCACACAACCAAAATCCTAGAGGAAGCTTCCTTTGTCCCACCTAGAGTTAAACATATTTTTGCACCATTCTGGCTATAGTGGAAGTCAGGGTCCACACAAACAACTCAGAAAACGTAGTCCACAAAAACCCATAAAAACACGTGTGTGTGTGTGTGTGTGTATGTGTGTGTGTGTGTGTGTGTGTGTGTGTGTGTGTGTGTGTGTGTGTGTGTGTGTGTGTGTGTGTGTGTGTGAACTCACGTGTAGGAGCTGCCAGCAGCGGTGTCCTCTCTGATCTGTCTGTTCAGCGCATCCACCACCCTCCCCCTCCCCTCTCCCTCCACCTTCTCCTGCTTCGGCCGCTTTTTCCTCTCCTGCCCCTGCTGGAAGTCCTTCTCCTGGACCTTGTCTGCTATCGCGCACTTTTCCACGCCGCATTCCGCATCAGCCACGTGCTGCTTCGCGTGCCTGAACCTGTCAGGTGGCCGCTGGTCCTCACCTGATGGTTTAGGTATCCAGGGATGGTCGTACCGTTTCGGGATGGGCCAGGGCTTGAAGTCCTTCTGGTACTGAGTCTCGCTATTGAACGGTGTTTCCGGTTCGTGGTACTGGTTCTTGGGTTTACAGCTCGGTTGGGGCCGCACTTTCCAGTGCTTAAAGTCCTCGCGCATCACCGAGTTGCATACGCGCTCCTCAGACACGCATCTGCGCGGCCCGCGCACCGCTTTAGCTGCAGAGCGCTCCGCGCGAGATGGCTGCGTTTCTATGGCGACCCGGGCCTGGGTGGGATGGAGCTGCGGCTGCAGCTGGACGTGCTTCAGCTCAGACACGTCCGTGTACTTGGTGAACACCAGCGGCACGGCGATGTCCGCCTTGTCCAGCTGGTTCCAGAACCGGGCCATGCAGCACGCCCTGCTGATGCAGGGCCACGCCATGATGCTCCACTCCAACACTAAAGCGCTCCGTCCACCGAACCGAATAGGAACCGGACCGAACCGAAGCCGTCTCTGACTCTAAAATCTCCTGCTCGGTGAACACATTCCGTTCTGAGACAACAGTTTAAGGCTCGAACCCGTCCGTCCGCGCGGTTTGTCCTCCAGCATCAATACGGAGGAATCAGGCTCCGCCCACCGCTCAGCATCCCAGAGACACGAACCAGGAGCTCCTTTCCGGTTGCGTCTCAGACCTCCACGGCGGCCGTCAGAAAACCAATTTCAACCAAAACGGGTACAAACGTATTAGAAAATATTATAATTCACTCAGTGAAACCGGAAACAAACACAAGAGAAAAAGGATCTATGCTTTTATTTCGAAAGTAACCAAGCGGAAACATGCCGTGTGATTTATGTAAAAGTCAAAGGGATGAGGGTCTTGAAAAAAAATGGGAGACTCATTCATATTTTATTTCTTACATCTGGTTTTGTTTTCAGGGAGAAAATAAAAACCAACGGTGAATAAAAGTGCGATCAAAACGTCATTTTTACTTTTGCTCTTGATATTAAATACAGATATTCTGATGCTACTTGTATAAGTCTAGACCAAGCCCCCACAATTCGCGTCTGGAAATGAAGCCAAACAGGAAGTGACAAAAATTGCAGTTCCACCCTCATCCGCTGGACTCCCATGTTAAAAATACCAATTTCACAGCAGAAATAAACATGTGCACAGCCTGGTACCAGAACATGTTTTAGGTTTAAATGATCTAGTTTACACTCATGACAACTCTGAGGGGGGTGAATTTTTTGTCACTCTTCTGTTTAAGTGTATTAAAAGCCTAAAATTCTGCATAATTAATGAGCATCAGACCCATGTGACCGCAGAGTTAGCTCAGCCTGAGCCTCGGCCTCGCCTTAAAACTGTTCTGCCATTTTCAGTCTCTCAACTTAGACCATTAGTTGTAGCGTTTGTGCGTTCTTTTTGGATATTGTTTGTGCAATTGTTGGACAAAATGACTTGCTGTGACATTAATTGCACTAATAGAGCATCCAAGAAGTCTCCACTTCATTTTTCAGCTTTTTCACGTAATATTCATCACTCTTTTTATTTCAGGGTGTCTGACAGGCTGAAGGCCCTGGACAGGATGTCCTCACTAGTCTGGACTGCAGCACTGTGACTCAGTGGTTTGGAGCCAGCAGGATCACACCATCACTCATGTAGCCAGAGATGAAAAATGCTGAGCACAGTCCTCCTGATTGCTGAACAGTTCTTCAGACAGAGTCTTCTTCCAAAAATCCTGACACACCGAATGGACCCAGAACATCAAGCCCCTACAGTCTGTTTGCACTGTGGAAGGACAGAGTTTGGAAAGAAGACCACATGTTCAAAGTGCAACCAGCATTTTCACTACACCTGTGCAAAGCTGAAAGGTAAAAAAATGGCGTTGTGAAGCATCAGTGTAATGAGAAAAGACTAACACACGTGTTCAAGTTTAATGGCCACCATCCACACATCGGTGCTTCTAAAAGCAATGTTCATTTTGTACAGAGAATGTTTCCTTGTATAAAAGTACTGAGTAATACTCCAAACCAGGGGCGGATTAAGGACTGAAGAAGATCCGGGGCTTAACACACACACATGCGCACACACGTGACACGCACTAGTCAACATACATATTTGTCTTGTACCACATAATTTTTAATCTGAAGCTACATATTAAGCATATTCAGGGCAGAGTATAGTTCCTGTTAGTGTTTAGTGTGAGATGATAGTAAATATTCCCTTTCTTTCCCCAACAACATTACCTGATAGTAAGCTAACTTTAGGCAAACCAGCAGCACAACAAATATTTTCTAATAAGACTCACAAACCTGAGTCAACACCAGTAACATCAAAGCTGGGGTTCTGTCGCCGTACTTTTGGTCTAAAAAACGTCCTTATGTCCATCTTCACTCATGCGTTTCAGGCAGAGAGTGTAGAAGAAGCCGGCTGCGGAAGGGCTTCTTCAGTGGTGGAGGCTCAGACAGGCTGTATACAAACTACTGCCAGCTGCGCCCTCTCTGTTGGACTTTGGTACTGCATGTTACTTCCACGTTTGAGATCCGGGGCTTTTCATTAAAGATTCGGGGGCTTGAGCCCAAGTAGCCGGGCCTAACGCCGCCCCTGCTCCAAACACATAAAAAGCTTTTGCAGTTTGATTATCTCTATAGAGCAAAATTATTTACAGTTCATTTTCTGGGGACAATGCATTTGCAAATGTTTGTTAATGCTGCATAAACAATATCTTGTAACAGGTCCACCTGGGAGAGGGGAGCGACAGTTGTAAGAATTTTAGAGTTTTTCCATCTACCGATTACTCTTTAATGTGTATTCTGATGCTGGACAAACACCTGGATTGTTCCACTTCAGCACACCGCTGCTTTTGTAAAGCGGGGATTCTTAAGGTAGCACCATGCACGGCAAGCTAATCTCTGATGGTAAAACCACGGTCTGCTAGTCTCACGTGTACTTGGAGAAGGTCATAAAACCCTGATTCAGCTGTTATTTTTATATCGGAAACACGCCACGCCGGTGAAACACGCCATGCCGGTGAAACATGCCGCACTCGGCTTGAAGTTGGCTGTACTTCTGTTTGAGGTCATCACGGACAGCCATCCCAACTGTAGTTTCTGGAAAACTGATTTGAAAATATAAGTTGTACTAATTATTTACCTTCTTAGCTCACATTCACTTCAACTTCTAAACTGTTTTAACTTCTTAACTTCTTTGCTTCCAAAATAATTATTTAACTTAACTAATTATGTAACTTTTTAACAAAATATTTAGTTAGCAAATGAAATATTTACCTTAAAGAGTAAGTTACATCAAAATGAACTTTTTTAGCTGATAACTGGTATAAATGACTGTCTAACAGTGTTATAGACGTGTAGTTATTATTTTAGCATTTTGATCCATTTTCTTTGAAAACTATAAATTCTGTCTAAAAACGTCAGTCTAGGGCCATCTTCAGCTCAAAAGGATAGAACACATTTATTTTGAGTCGGTTATAGCCCGTGGCTAACGAGAACGATGTCACGTAGCTAAGAAAAGTAGTGCGTAGCAGCTCTGTGGCTGTAGGTTGTAAAAGCACCACGGTCTCAACCAGCCTTGTAGCAGTCGGGGCTCGGATTAGCCGCAAGTTGGGGTGAGCTCATTTCAAGCTTTAAAATCAACTCAAACCATTAACATTTGACCTGTTGCTGCTGTAGGATATGTAGTGTGTGTGTGTGTGTGTGTGTGTGTGTGTGTGTGTGTGTGTGTGTGTGTGTGTGTGTGTGTGTGTGTGTGTGTGTGTGTGTGTGTGTGTGTGTGTGTGTGAGTGAGCTAAAGGTCATTTAGGGTTATGAGTGAGAGGATTGTGTAAACCTGGCAACCCTTCACCTTTAAACGCTGCTGCAACCCGCTCTAAGACCTTTGTGCGACTCTGATAGTGTGATTTTATGATGAGGCAGTTAGGTGTCTTTAATGCGCCTTTATTACTCTGAGCTACACTGGAACGCTGATTGCTCCACCAGACTGGTCTGCTTTTACAACCATGTGAACGTACTTTAACGCCATCATGCTGAGCGCCGGCTGCCTTTAACACTTGTCATGTTTAATGGAAAGAAAGAAAATAAAAGGATCTTTTTAAAGCTTAATAAATCTTGTTGATGTCCTCTTGTCCCTCAGGCTTGTGTCCAAGCATCCCAGCATGGTCAAATGTCTGATGAGGACTGAGAACTCAAAGTGTGTTTGGATTGAGATAAGCCAGCCAATAGGAGGTGAGAAAGGCAGACTTTGGACCCACTTCCTCGGTGGTCCTTCTTGTTCTCAGCAGCAGCAGCAGCAGCAGCAGCAACACTCTGGTTTGTTTCTCGTCTTTTATGGAAAAATGAAAATTGCTTTTGCTCCTGTGAACCTGCCCCTCCAGAGGAGGCTGCAGACTGCTGCGGTTCTAGCATGGGTCTTCTCCTTCCTAGCTCTGGGTGAGTGTTCATGTCTGAAGGTACACTGACATAAAACAAACGCCCACAAGGGCCGCTTGACTTTCCTGCAGTTTTCTTCTGGGGATGTTCAAATGCAGAAAAGTTAGAGAGAGCAGACAGTTTATAATTTATCATACTGGCGCGTCCTGAACCAGCAGCTTCTGCTGCTTCATCCTCTGGAATGATACAACCAGGTCTAAACCACTCTAAAGTCTCACCTGCAGCTTTCCTCAAGCCTGCATTTATTACAAGATTTTTAAAATTAAACTCTTTTCCAAATTAATTATTACAAACACAAAATCTCATGTTGAAGAGTGTCTACCTCTCTGACAGGATCTGTGCATTCCTGACAAAACAGCTTTTTCTAATCCCGTAAATGTCTTCTGCTCTCTGGCGGAGGATCTAAATACCACCCGTTTCCTTAAGTCTGATATCATCAGGAATAAAAATGGGATTTTAAATTCTTTTACTACTTTTTCTGATTTGTATTTTTCTAGGGAATTAAAAAAATGGTGTCTAAATGTTTAAACCTAACTCCAGAAGGCAATGTTGAAATAAAATATTCAGAAACAAACACATAAACGGGAAGTTTTCAAAATAAAATCATTCTAACTACTGTGTCCTACCAAATGAAAAGCGTTGTGATGAGACCCCCTTAAGTAAGGCTGTGGTGCGACTCTGAGTCATTACATTGGATCATACATATTTATTTATTTATTTATTTATTATTAACACAATTAAGTCAACTAAAAGTGTAAAAACAAAGCAGGTAATTAAACTACGAACAGCTGTACAGCCCATAGATGCCTCCAGTTACCATGACCTTCTAAAAGTGGCGTCATGCTTGGTGATGAAGTCCTAAAGGGAGCTGGGATAAAGAAGGGTGCTTCCTGTCGTAGTGAGAGCCTTTTGAAGCTTCTGAGATGTTTTCTAAATAACACAAAGTAAATAAACTCTCAAATATCAGTAAAAAAAGTTAAACAGTTAAGTCCTGCTCTGAATTTTACACATGATGAAAAACTTGACCTAAACCTGAGAATACCTGAAACACCGGCTGTGCCCAGAGTCAGGGGTTGCATGCTCATGAGCTCCCGTCCTCGTTGGTCTCAGGAGAACGCGTCCTTCCGGGACCGGCTAGACCGGATGTTAACAGCTGTGACAGTGTAGCCTCAAACAATGGTCCTGGCCCTTCGGCGGACGTCTACCTGTCACCTAGAAACTGCTACCGCACTGAGAAGAAGCTGCAGACATGGAGCTCGCACATGTTTGAAACTTTTTCCAGGTTTTTCTACCGTTTGAAGAGCTACAGCAGATCTATTGTCAGCAGCATCGTTTGGTAGCGTCGAAGGACTAGTGATGTGTCGGTCGCGAACGAACTGGCTCTAAGAGCCGGCTCTTTGAAGTGAACGACGGGAGCCGGCTCGTCATTGGGAGCCGTGAAAGCCACAGGCGATTGGTCAGCATGTGTAACTGCGTGTCCAGACTGTCCACACACAGAGCAGTAGGGGCGGGGAAGAGGGAGGATCAGACTCAGACACACAGCAGAGCACATGCGAGTGGAGGGAGACGAGAGGGAATGAGGAGGAGGAAAAGGGCGAGCGAGAGAGAGGAGAGTGCGACGAAGACGGTGAGAAAATGAGCGCCAGCAGTCGGAAAGTTGAGATTTCTTAAAGTGTTCAGTAAATAAATCCATAGAAATGATAAATATTTGACATATTGCATTCTTTTACATTAGTAAATCATTTTACACATTTTTGCATTATTTTGGTTATAAATGGACTCTACGCAACAGAAAATCTGAGGAGCCACTTGGGAGCCGAAAGAGCCGGCTCTTTTTGGTGAGCTGAGCCAAAAGAACCGGCTCTCTAAAAAGAGCCGGAATTCCCATCACTATGAAGGATGTCTGAGGAAGGTCCCGCCTTTCTTGCCTCTGATTGGATAGAAGGGTTCTCCTATGATTGGCTGTTTCATTTGGTAGCAAACCACTTAGACTGCCTTGCCACCAACAGAAGGAAGTTTACGGAGTTTTGTAGAGAAAATGTGAACTTAGCTCTATAATTACCTTTCTGCCCTGTTGTGAAAAGTATTTTTTTTATGTTTCTTTTATTCAAAAAACCTGAAAAATGTAAAACGTAAACTTATAATGAATCTTGTTGCATGCATCACACTGTTATGTCTGTTGGCTCTCAAGCATTGAGGTTATCCTAAAGCAGAATGCAAAGGATGAACATCCAAGTGCCTTACCTGGGTATGAAATATGATAAAACTGCCCAGTTGTGTGCAGCAGGTCTGTTTGTCTTCTAGAATAATGAAAACTATTCAAAAATAGGTTTAAATCACAATTAGCTTTGACTTAAATTTCTATTATGCATTTAAACAGATGATTAGAGAGGTGTTCAAACTTGCAAATGGCCTTAACCCATGAAAGTGAAGACATCAGTCCGTTAACCCCAATATTTAAGAGCCAACAGATCTAAAGTCTAACAGTGTGATACATTAAACTTATTTATCACAGGCATACATCTGGTATGTAAGATCTGGCTGCTGACAAACCCAGCAGCAACAATCTGGCTTGTTGTTAAATGAAATAGCCAATCGTAGGAGAACCCTTCCACCAACTCAGAGGCGAGAAAGGTGCGAACTTCCTTGGACATACTACGATTCCAAAAGACGCACACCGGCTGGGAGGCTGGCTTTGCCTTTTAGTAAGTCTAAAAGCTCTTACTAATTTCATTTCAACTTAAGAGGCGACGGTTGCACAGGAGTTAAGTGCTCGCCTCATGATCGGAAGGTTGCAGGTTCAAGCCGTTGTGTCCTTCGGCAAGACTCTTAACCCACCTTACCTGCTGGTGGTGTTTGGGGGGACCGGAGGCACCAGTGTACCGCAGACTCACCTCTGTCAGTGCGCCCCAGGGCAGTCGTGGCTACAGTGTAGCTCATCACCACCACCCCATGGGGGGTTCCAGGACTCCATATCAATTTTAAGCTAGCTTCATGACATGAGTAATTTTGGGTTCTGAAAACCATGAAAACGCTGCTGTACTTCATATCCATCTGTGTGATGGATGACAGTACATCTCAGGATTTATCGAGGTGAGGAGAAGACACTGCACATGTTCTCAAAAACAGGGAAAAGAAGAATGGATATAAAGACCGCGTTCGGAGCACTCTTTAACTTTGAACAGTCTTCGTTGCATTAGCCGACCTCGTGAGCACGCAGCCCCTGAATGTGGACACAGCCGTTGCATCTTCAGAGCTTGATGACTAAATAAACTCACCACAAAAACCACATTCCTCTGCAGCACTCACCTGCATCTTCGTGTTCTTCTACCTGCTCTTCACCCGTTTCTGGCTGATCAGCGTGCTGTACGCTACCTGGTGGTACTACGACTTTGACACACCTGCCTGCGGAGGCCGTAGGGTGTCCTTCCTGTGTGGCCTCAAACTGTGGGAATACATGAGGGATTATTTCCCCATCAAGGTGAGCGAGAGCAGCTGCGTGTGTATAGTCTATCTGGTCAGGATCACAGGATGCCACCGTTTATTCTGATGTAGAACAGCAGCCTTTACTCTCCTCTAAAAGTAGCAACTGCCTCCAGAGTAACAAGAACATATTCGTCATTGACCTGTTCTACCATAGAGGCAAGGCAGCTTTATTCATACAGCACATGTCATACACAGGGGCAACAATGTGCTTTCCATTAGCAAGAATAACAAGAATCAACGTGACAGAAACTACTATTTAAAAATGAAAAGAAACAAAGTTAAAGGGTGAACAGAACATTCATTCAAAGGCTGATGAAAACATGAAAGTTTTGAATTTTGATTTAAAAGTTTCTAGATTTGGAGAACATCTGAGGTCATGAGGAAGCTGATTCCATCTGTGAGCAGCATAGTGGCTAAAAGCAGCTTCACCCTGTTTGGTTCTGACCCGGTTCTACCAGCTGACTGTTTCCTAACAGCCTCAGAGCCCTACTGGGTGTAGATATATGAGGGAGATCTCACATGAACTTTGTTCCCATAAACTAGTAGAAGAACTTTAAAATGGATTCTGTAGTTTACTGGTAGCTAGGGATGCACCGATACCGATACTGGTATAGGTATCAGGCCGATACCGACACCAGCATCGGTATCTGTAAAAGTTAAAGAGCAAGTCACCCCCTGCCAGAGTATTATTCCCCTCCCACTTCCTGTTTGAAAAATGCAACAAATGCTGTTGCCTAGCAGACCGAGAGGGCGGAGCCATTAACAAATACACACACAGACTCACAACAACATTGTGACATCATATGGTACCAGCTAACGTTCTAGGGTACCTCTTAGCCAATGGAGTGCAGAGTTTTTACCTGACAACGGCACAACACTGACAGTTTCAGGCAGAAAATTAAAATTTTAGCAAAAATGCACTAAAGTGCAAAACTATTGACTACACGTGTCTGCAGCACGATTAGACATGCATTTATATAGTTTATCAGAAAAAAAAGTTGATTTGGGGGTGACTTGCTCTTTAACCAATACCAATGCAGTTGCCTAAAAGTGGCTTCATTGTAACTTGTAATTTCTATTCACCTAATATTTTAGTTTTGTGATAATTTCTATTATTACATTTAATTTTGTATCTACTTCACAGTTGCTGTTGAAAGCAGAAAATAAAAGAAAACCTGTATACCAATTCAATGCATTTTTTGGTGTGGTAGAAGTATCGAGGTGATATCTGCAGGTGTTGTAGGTGAAGCCTCAGGTATAGGAGGTGAATAGAAAGGGTGAGAGCACCGTGCCCTGTGGAGCTCCAGTACTGCACACAACCACCTGTGATGTACAGTTGTGCAGCCTCACGTACTGTTTAAGAACAGGAGTGATGTGCTCCGTTCTCTTGGTTCTTGTTAAGACTCTAGCAGCAGCATTCTGAACAAGCTGCAGCTACTTCACAGTTTTTTTGGGAATACCAGCTAGGAGACTACTGCAGTAGTCCAGCCTGCTGGAGATGAACACATGAACGAGTTTCTCTAGGTCTGGTCTGGACATGAGACCTCTGAGAGGAACCGTGTGGTTTTATTTACAGATTATGTTCTCCTGGATAAACTTTTCCCAGTCTCTCCCAGTGTTGGAGGTTTGACCCCCCCGGCTGTGTCCCTCGTTGCACGCTCAAGCCTTCTGAGGAAGTGCCCTTACCTAGCAGCTAGGGTAAACGTGGGCCACATAAATGACTCGTGATCTCTTTATCATTCTCACCCCCCCACCCCCACCCCTTACTTTCATTAAGAGGCTGAGTTGCTAATTACACACAAGGGGAACTCTATAATCCCTGACTTAAATTACGGGGTCAGCCTAAAAATCATTCACTAATTGGCCTACATACAATCATCTCATCTTCAGATAAGGCAGAAGAAGGATAATTGAGTTTCCTTTTGTATTCCCGGAAATGTAAAACTTAAATTTCAACCATGTCCTATTTACTGCCCAGGAACACATCTGAAGGTCTCTGATTGGTGCTTCTCGGTCACGCCCGACAGCATACAAACTTTCCACCAAAACAACCAAAACAAAATCATGACGTCCGTTAGCTAAGAGAAACAAGTGGCACACCACAAAAAGAGAAATGGACTGATGTCACCAGGTGTCACAGGAATCGAGCCCTGGTCAGAGCAAGGATATCTCCGCAGATTTCCAATGAGTCAGGTAATCCTCCACGGTGTCTAGTCGTCCCTTGGTACCGGCGGTAAGCTCTAGTCAGGTATTTCCTCCTTTTTCTTATCAAGCTCTGTTTACATTTTTAATAGTCTCTTGTTCAGGTCTTTATCTGTGTACACTCGTGTAACGTAGGGGACTTTAGATTAAGCAGGCTGCAGCAAGAGACGCTGACACCTGCACCACCCCCACACACACCTGGTGCACCCTCTCTTATTAGCTCGGGTCGTGGTAATCAACACTAATAAAACAAATGATTGAACCTGGTCTACACATTTACATACCGTGGAACACAAAATCACAGTTACCCTCCTTGATAACTGATAACCATAATACATCTGCTCTGTGCAACAATCCATCACATACTTTATTCCTTTTGGACTGGCTTAATGTGACAGTGTTACAATACCGACAAGATACTGTGAAGTGGATAGTCTGTGTTCAGTAAGGCAACAGTGGTTAAGTGCCCCCCTCGTAACTGGATTTGCAGGTTCGAGTCCCAGCTGTCACCTTCTGCCTCCTTTCCTGCTGGTGGTGGTTGGAGGAACAGATGGTGCCTGGGTTCTGTCAGTGTGCCCCGGAGCAGTCGAGGCTGCAGCGTAGCTGATCCGTGTGTGAATGCGAGTGCACTGGGGGAAAAGGCTGTGCTGTAAAGCATCTTAGTGGGTTGTAGAACCCTAAAAATAACAATGCATACCTGCTTTTTAATCATAGCTAAATGATGCATAACACAAACCTGGATAAAAATATTTATGTTTTGTTGTGATGTAAAAACAAATCATCTGTTTATTTTTTATGGAAATCTGGCTGCTGCTCATTGTTGATATTTGTCTACCTCTTGTGGTTTTCAGTGGCACAGCAACAATCCTTCTCATCCGAGGAGCTTGGACAAGTCTGAATGGACAAAGCTCCTCGGAAGAGAAGAGAAACGTCGTCAAGAAACCAAAGAAGTCCAGTCGCCTTCATTTGAACCCTTTTAGATCATCTAGTTCATTTAGCTGTATTTAGAAAGAGTTGTCTTATACTCCTACTCCTAACGGGTTATTTACATGTCATCAGAGGTGCAAAGAGAACTACAATTTTTCTACTTCAGTAAAAGTACCAAAATTACTTTTAACACTATTTTTACTCAAGTACAAGTAAAAGTATTTCCCTAACTGTTTACTCCAATAAAAGTAAAAAGTATCTTAAATAAAGTGTACTCAGAGTAAAAATTACTTAGTTACTCATTCGCCAGCATAAGGATGGCCTCTTGTAAGATGTAATTAAACACAGTGGGTGGCTAGTGGTGGTTGGAGAGACCGGTGGCGCCAGCAGTCTCATCTCCATCAGCACGCCCCACAGCAGCTGTGGCTACGATGTAGCTCATCACCAGCATGTGAATGGATGAATTACTGATTGTGTTGTGAAGCACCTTAAGACGTTGTAGAACCCTAAGTAGGTGCTACGCAAATACAGGCCATTTATCATTTACCATGTAAATCTCTAATAGTTTGTTTTGTAATTAAATCAACAACTTTATAAATAAGTGCATTGGTAGTTTAAGGTGGATTTGAGTTCAAGCAGGTTACATTATGAAAAAAACAATTCAAATGTCTGAAAGAGGTGGAGCTGAATGAACCCTAACCCTGTGGGCAAGGGGGCTGCCAGAGATTTTGGGCCCCATGGAAAAATATCAAGTTGGGCCCCCTGGGGGCTCGTCCATAGCTGGAGCTGGGGTTCCACTCTCCCAGATTCGAAGGGAGAAAAAAATATAATATATATACTTTATATTAGTGTTTCAGTTTTGCTTAATTATGTAGGTCTACATGCATTCTGACTTATTTACATATCATTTTCACCAGCTGTCTCTCATTAAACAGTGAATTTCCTTCAACAGAATTAGCAATATCACTGCTGGAAAAAGCAGGAAATGCACATGCTGAAAGGTGTTAATCTCCTTTTCCCTATTACTCCCTTAAAATGTGTTTATTTATTCTAAGATTTTATTTGATGATAAAATTCAAATTTGGATATCTAATTAAATTTCCATGTTGTGTCAAAGCTTTACATAAACTACATTTTCAGCTGTCTTTCCTCTTGAAATCAAGTATTTCTGTATGACTGACAAAAATGAAGGATTCACTGCTCACAAGGTGACTTCTTTATTAAGTCTCCATGGCTTCATCATAGACACAAAATGAATAAGCACACAGTTCAAACCGGAGTCAGTTAGGGTTACATCAAATTTTAAAGTTGGACAACTTTGCATGAATACGTATATACTTTGTCCTGACCAAACCTGACATTGGGAAGCTTAAAGCTTGATTTATGCTTGGCGCGTCCACAAGTTTCACACGGCTCCGCGTGGCAAAATTGCGTCATTTTAACAACCACGCCCCTCCACCGCACCTCCGCACGGTCCAAACTTTCCGCACCGCGCACCTAGGAAATTTTCTAACCACACGGATGGTCGGACGCGGAAAAACATGGCAGACTGGCAAGAACTAGTATGGCAGAGGTTTGTAAATACAGACATTTGTATGATTCAGCTCTAAAAGATCACCGTGATCAACATGTTAATAATTCTTGGGGAGGAATGGCTCGCACTGTCGGAAAAGACGAGGACGCTGTTAAAAAATGCTGGAATGCCATGTTGTAAACAACAGTAATTTCTACTTCTACAATGGTGTAGTATTGGATGCATGCCGTAGAGCTCCATGCTGCCCCCTACAGTTTGGGAGAATATTGGCTCACCGCAGAGACAAGCCGCATGAACCATAAACGCTGCAAGTTGTGAAGCACGTTCCATCT